AAAAAAAAAAAAAAAAAAAAAAAAAAAAAGCCTTTAAGGGGTCTGTTGAAGATTGAAATCTGCCAAGAAAAAAATTGAATTTCTGATTGAAGTTTTCTGTGATGTTGACAGACATAAATTAACCCATCATTCTACTTAAAGAATGTATTATCTAAATAATTTAAGTAGATGTCTCAGATATCAGCATACCTCCATAAGGAGGTCAGTCAATCTAAAAACATCACAAAATGTCTTAAGCATTTATTACATGTATACTGATTTCCCTTAAAGGTACACAGTATAAGATTTCCTTTGAAAAGCTTGTACCTAACCAATTTTCCTGGGGTAAAAGATATTCATTCGTCTGTCCAACCAACCTTTGATCCTCCCTTCCTGACACTTGCCATAGGTCTCCTAAAATCTGGCCAAATTTAAAAGTCTTTAAGGGGGTTCTATATCTTACAAAGGCCTACCTTTGGCAAAATAACTTCTTTTACATGAAATACTCATTTTGAAATGAGCCCAATTAAAAAAAAACACACACACACATACACACACATTTTAGAACAATCTCTTTTTTTGTTTGATGCACCAAATGTTAATTGTCAGTTTCCCTGCTTTATAAATTGGTATGAGATAGTTATCAGTTTCCAAGTCATGTAGCTAATTAGGAATTAAGATGTTAATATGTAAATTTGCATAGTCAACAACTACATGTAGAGTAAAAACTACAATCTGGTTCCAATGATTGGTTTTAAATGTTTTTGTTTAGGAGATATATGAGTCCCTCATCAAGTATTTCATTAAACAAATTAAGGCTCTTTACTATGAAATTTAGAAGGAAGAATTTTAAGAAAAATTCCTGGCACTGGATTGATGAATTAAAATGGTATTCAAATGATGTGGGAAGCTTCTCAGGTGAGGGAAATGTGTTTGAAATTAATATCATAGTTTTCACTCCAAAAAAAGCAAAAAAAAAAAAAAAANNCACACACACACACACACACACACACACACACACACACACACATTTTAGAACAAACTCTTTTTTTGTTTGATGCACCAAATGTTAATTGTCAGTTTCCCTGCTTTATAAATTGGTATGAGATAGTTATCAGTTTCCAAGTTATGTAGCTAATTAGGAATTAAGCTGTTAATATGTAAATTTGCATAGTCAACAACTACATGTAGAGTAAAAACTACAATCTGGTTCCAATGATTGGTTTTAAATGTTTTTGTTTAGGAGATATGAGTCCCTCATCAAGTATTTCATTAAACAAATTAAGGCTCTTTACTATGAAATTTAGAAGGAAGAATTTTAAGAAAAATTCCTGGCACTGGATTGATGAATTAACATGGTATTCAAATGATGTGGGAAGCTTCTCAGGTGAGGGAAATGTGTTTGAAATTAATATCATAGTTTTCACTCCAAAAAAAGCAAAAAAAAAAAAAAAAGAATGCTACTGTTATATCATCATGCAGCACAAGTTGGCAAATTCACACGAATGTACTTGTGATGTAACAGCTTGTCTTCAAATAAGTTCAGCAAAAACTGGCTTGTGTAACTTAACATGTGCTTAAAATCCTACGCTTTGTCACTTAAAAAATAAAAATCTGTACAGCAAATGTCAAGAATAGCCATTTTTATCAGATAACGCACTTTCTCAATGACAAATAAAAATTAGGAAAAGGAAATATTGTGTCCAGTTGTGTAAGGTAACAATTTTTATATCCTGCATGATACAAAGGTCGTTTTATTCTCCAATAAATGCCAACAAATTGAGAAAGAAGGATCCTTTTCACAATGCCAATATGTCAGATGACTTTGTCTACTGGAGCAAACCAATTTACAAATCTGTAACCAATTATTCCAACCAACCTTCATCAGAACAATTCACTGNTGAAATGAGCCCAATTAAAAAAAAACACACACACACATACACACACATTTTAGAACAATCTCTTTTTTTGTTTGATGCACCAAATGTTAATTGTCAGTTTCCCTGCTTTATAAATTGGTATGAGATAGTTATCAGTTTCCAAGTCATGTAGCTAATTAGGAATTAAGATGTTAATATGTAAATTTGCATAGTCAACAACTACATGTAGAGTAAAAACTACAATCTGGTTCCAATGATTGGTTTTAAATGTTTTTGTTTAGGAGATATATGAGTCCCTCATCAAGTATTTCATTAAACAAATTAAGGCTCTTTACTATGAAATTTAGAAGGAAGAATTTTAAGAAAAATTCCTGGCACTGGATTGATGAATTAAAATGGTATTCAAATGATGTGGGAAGCTTCTCAGGTGAGGGAAATGTGTTTGAAATTAATATCATAGTTTTCACTCCAAAAAAAGCAAAAAAAAAAAAAAAAAAGAATGCTACTGTTATATCATCATGCAGCACAAGTTGGCAAATTCACACGAATGTACTTGTGATGTAACAGCTTGTCTTCAAATAAGTTCAGCAAAAACCGGCTTGTGTAACTTAACATGTGCTTAAAATCCTACGCTTTGTCACTTAAAAAATAAAAATCTGTACAGCAAATGTCAAGAATAGCCATTTTTATCAGATAACGCACTTTCTCAATGACAAATAAAAATTAGGAAAAGGAAATATTGTGTCCAGTTGTGCAAGGTAACAGTTTTTATATCCTGCATGATACAAAGGTCGTTTTATTCTCCAATAAATGCCAACAAATTGAGAAAGAAGGATCCTTTCACAATGCCAATATGTCAGATGACTTTGTCTACTGGAGCAAACCAATTTACAAATCTGTAACCAATTATTCCAACCAACCTTCATCAGAACAATTCAGCAGGGTCAACTAGGACAGCTTATTTAACTTACCAGACAACAAAACAAATGGATACAGTAAAAAAGTAAAGAACAGCAACTTTGCCATAAGCTTAGCATTACAGTTATTAACATGTCCACTCCAATTTGACTCCCAACACAGCACCAGTGCTTTGTTTATACAGGTTTTATTCAACAAGCACCTTGAATCAATTTTAAATAAGTGTGCCTTCAAGGCAAACTGAATCATCCCCATGGTAAAAAAAAGGCACAGAAATTTGATTTAAGAATCTGTGATCCTTGAAGCAATTTGCAATTAGTTCCATTAGTTCCCACTTTCATTACGTTAATCATTATTGGCATTTATATTTGTAATCTTCCTTCCATACATAAGCTCTTCTAAATCTCATTTAGTCAGAGCAACTTTTTCCCCCCAAGTGTTGTGTACTTTTATTTTTGCGAAAAACACTTAATTGACACACCTCGGTGCCCTTAAACAACTGTCTCAAATTTTTTTCTAACCCAGTTGATGAAATTTCTGAAATTGCCATGGGGCTGTTCAAATGTGAACAGTTCTGTACTGGCAAATAGTGCCAGAAGAAAAATCCCAACGAGCCAATTACCCCAGCTGGTCTCTCAATTACTTCCCAATCAGCACAATAACTTTAAAGAGTTGTTAGGTAACAATTGATGCAAGATCAAGTCACATTAGACCACATGTTTTGGCGGTCAGCAAATCTGACATTAAGGGAGCATATACATAAGGTCCCTATCCTGCATTTCAATTGGTCAATCTGTAAACTGCAATAAAGCTGGACTGTGCACAGCATGTTAGAAAGTATGAACCTTCCAACTGCATGTACGGTAGTTTGAACTACTGGTATTGCAGTTTGTTGTAAAATTTATATGATCAACATATACATTTATCAAAATTACATTGAAGCCCGTGTGAACACAACAATTAAACTGCCAATTACAGTTTGTAATACAAGTACAAAGTGTTCTAATCTAATAACTGCACATTTTCCAGAGCCAACCGGAAATAAAAGCTCTCTGTCAGAATCCATTCTTAACCTTCAACTGACTTTCTTCAGTAAGACGATCTGCCTCTAGCTAACTACATACACTTGGAAAGGATTTGTCCCTTGCTGGGTGTATTTACATTCCACTTTTTGTCCTTAGAATTGTGCATCTCCCACTCAAGGCAGCCAATTACAAAGATTTTCTTTAACAAAAAAGTTACATCTGCATAGAGTTTATCAAAACTTGAAGTGGCTTTGAAGTGAACATGATGTAAGTTTAAAATAATAAAAGTAAGACTGCGGAAAAATATAAGGCACTAGCAAAGACACCTTTGCAGATTATAATGGCAGAATTCACCGTTACCTTGGACATAATAACGAATTCATAATTTTGTCCATGCCGTTACACAGATTATGACACGTATGCACAGTTAACCAGTTTCCATTGGTCATGGTTTTATATGTTTTTTTAACCAGAAGACTGCTTATTTATTCATTCATACATCATTCATAATATAACAATATTTATGACATTCTTTGTAATAAAAATAACTTTTGAAATTTGCTTGCACATTTTGCATGCACAGCATTGCTTAACAACTTGTCGCTTATCAAAAATAAGACAAATGAAGTTTTAAAACAATGAAGATGGCCAAGAAAATGTAGAAACAAAATGTGAAAATAAAAAATAAAAGAAAGAGAAAAAATATGACAGGAAAAAATGGAAGCCACCCCCCCTCCCCCAGGTTCCATCAAAAGAAAAGATAAGGGCATATCCGCATTTAACTTCTAGAGAGAGGACAAGAAAAAAACTGTCACGTCCAGATAATGAAATATTGATAATGTTTCCAAACACAAATGAATTACAATAATAAATTACACACTTCTTTACAAAGAAATGTTATACTTATACAATACCATTACTATAGGCATTTAGAAAATGTAACTACATGTAGGGCAGGACTTCAAACCAACAGATTTTCAGGCACACCTTGGAAATGCCTAGATGTAAAAAGTGCTAAATTCACAAAAGAAATTATAACTTTCAAAAAAAAAAAAAGTATCCAATCAGGCCATTTTTACATTATCTAGGGCTGTACTTCAGCCCTTTGAATCGTTCTTGTAGATTTAAGAATAATAAGTGGCATGTTTTTCCTTTTATGGTGTTTACAATGAAAATGCACGGTGACACTAACATGGCTGGTGGCTAAATGTCCAGATGCCATGTCTCTCCATAAAAAAGGGTGTCAGAGCTTGAACTTACAAGGATACGACAAATACTTTCAATAGTTCAATGCCCCTTTACGCAACCTACAGCTGTTACCTATTACTTCAACAATTGATCACGCAACACTTGAACCTTCTACATGTGGTAATCGGAGCAAATGACATGGACAATGAAAACGGAGATGTTTATGTGAAAAATCCCACTTAATCACACCCATGAAATTTAACAAACTGTTGAGAATTAAACTCATGAAATTTAACAAATCGTTTAGAATTAAATGTTGTAATAATGTGATTTTGAACTTGTTGCCAACTACACTTATTAAAAGGGCTACACCCACTAACAAGGAATAAAGTTAAACAAAGTTAACATGTAGCTCAGTGCATGGTGTAAGGGTGATTACTGTGATTACAAAAAAGTTACGTACAGTATAAGTCAAGAGAAATACTTAGAAACAGTCAATTGAGGCTTCATAGTTTACTTATATTTAAGTGTATTTGGAGAAAGGATTTTCACTACATTTCACTTTTTCCCCCAACCAAACAGCAAAGTATGCAGACACAAAAGTATTGAAATTATGTAGTAGGTTCAAAATATTTACAAAAATATTTATTTTATCTTCATGAATTTTCTAGTGCATGCACTCTTGGCAGATACTAAGGTTTAGGAGTTTAAAATATATTCTTGTCAAATAATGTCTGTCAATCGTAACACTTCCCCTGTTTGCAAAAAATTGTGACCCCTTTGACCTCAAGGTGGAAGGCAAAAAATTCACTATTAAATATACAAAAAATAGTTTAAATCACCCACGTTTGAAATTTTTAATAGCACCCAATGTTAAAAAGGAACTTGATGCCTGACTAGTAAAAAAAAAGTGAAGATAAAATAAGTGGACATCACAACCTTAACATTGACTAACCTTGTACATTAAAAGTACATCAACCTTGTACATTAAAAGTACATCAACCTCTACATTATAATATAATTATCATTGAACAAGGACTCCTTTCTTGCAAACCAATCCATAACTCTATCGCCCAACATTTTTCTTTTCTATAAATCAAAGCAGCCTGTGGTACAAAAATGACATTTCAATTAACTAGCATGTGATTACTATTACATCATGGGTGATGTCATCTTGAGGTCGGGACCAAGGCTAAAAATTTTTGAGTTGCTGAAGTCAAGATCAAGCTCCTCAATGGTGGAGATCAAAGGTCACTATGGGTCAAGATAAACGGTATGTCGTTAAAAGTCATAAATAAAAGAAAAGACAAATAAAGTTCGAGAAAGTTTATGCAAACTTTTGTGCGAATTGTGAAGAATACATTTAATACAAAATGATAAAGTTAACTATATCTCACAACCAATAAAAAAATGAATATAAACATATACAAAGTATACAAAATATTGCACAGGTGCACCGTACTCCTAAATAATAAAAACTCATGTCTCATCCATCAAAATGTCAACTTTGCGCAGCTTCCATCAAGAGACTACACTGGTGACATAAACAGCATGTCTTGCTTCACACACTTATCCATTTTTCTTTAAGGTCATTTTTCAGCCAACCTGTAGCTATTTTCTAGGTTTAGGAAGTCTGAAATTTTCAAATGCTATACTGTTCCACAGCATGTAATCGTTTGATTGTCTTTTTCATTCCCTTTCAGTGTTGGTTGCCTATGCAGGTTATCATGCTGCGCAGCAAACAATAACTAAAAATATTATGACCCCATACTTCATCATACACTTACATTTCTTGAAAAATATCATTAACAAAGTAAACTTTTTACAAATAGCAAAAAATATTCAAAACCTAATGTATTATTTATATCACTTATCTAATATGCATAACAATTATCAATTAGCAGAAAATAAATTGATATCAATATAATGTAAGTATTTGTCAGCCAAGTCCATGATCACCTGACATATAAAACAAAGCTCTAAATAAACTTTCCATTTTACCCATGATAACAATTGCACTTAAAGGTACATCTCTGTGCATTCCATTACTATGATCAATAATATAAAGTCTCTTGGTTATACATAAATCATATCAATATATAAAGGCACAACATTTGTAAGTTTTGTATATTTTATACAACAGTTATATTCAAACCTTTATATGAAGTTAACAATTTCCAACTTGCCTCTCCTGATACCCCCTTCGAAAATTATAAAAAATAAATTATAACTGCTTTAAAGCTAAAGGCAAAAGAGGAAGAGTTGTTTGTGTTTTGATTATTTCAAAATGAAGCAACTTTCTGGTACTTGATATTCACTGTATGACTTATATAAGTAATGCTTAAAATATAAGATTCTATTTGTTGTAAAAAAACTCCCTAAAAATCTAAACTCACACATGGAAGCATGTACAGTAACAGCAACAGATGGCAATGAATTATTATTGGGATCACAAATGTGAAAAGAAAATGCTTTTGGATACAATGATTAGGGTGACTGAAAAAGGTGAATTAACAATTACGGGTTGAGATAAAAAATGGAATGGAAATCTCTTTAATGACATTTTTTGCTTCCAAGGCCATGACTTTAAAAGGTGTAATTAATTTGTTACAAAACATCTGACAATTTTGTCGTGTGCTTAAGACATATGTTTGCACAATCACAATCATAAAACATAACTCTCCTGTTAGCATTATAACTATAGCATGTGCTATACTACTATCTGCATGCAATAGCCACTTATCTGGGCCAGTGCTTCAACCTTTAATAATGTTCAATGACTTGGAACAACAAAACTTCCGGAATTTCCACATACAGAGTGTCCTGGTGGGGCAATCTGAAAAATGAGGAAATAATGAAATCGGGTTAATTAATAACATCAAATAAAAGGCTTTCAGCAGGTTTTGTTCAAAGCATTTGGCGCAGATCCAGAGTAACAAATGTTAAAATCAAGTTTGAACGCACTTTTTTTACATGCAGCCAGTTTTGGTTCTTCATGAATGCCATACCAACCAGGGGCGTAGCTTTTTGTATTACCAAAATTCAATTGTGTGTAAATAAACATGAAAGTAAAACTGTTTTTTCTAGGGTCTGATATGTGTGAAAAGGTTAAACACTTATATAAACAAGTTTGAAAATCTCTGCTTCTGTGTAAAATATTGAATGCCTTCAAAATAAACATATGCAAAATACCAAAAGATAATGAGACCAAGAACCATGTACCCGTAACCAAGACATCGCAATAAAAAAGAGAAGAAAATTAAAGTTCCATTTTTTCTACTCAATGAAAATATTAAGCATATCATTAAAACATGCACAATAATTGTGACACAATGCTAACAATCAAGATTTGTCTATATTCTACTACACAGGGAAAGTACAGATTAAATCTTTGGTAGGTCATTAAAACAGTCCTAAATAGAAATTCAACTTGGTTTCTTTTAACATTATAGAGGTCTGAAAGTCTAAAATACATATAATATCTTTTATATATGCAAATGCATATACATGGGACTCTGATGCTTTAGAAAACGCTTCTGTATGGTATTTCTACGAACAACTTAAAAAAAATACAGCTATTTTTTGTACCACACATGTTGAGACAAGTGGTACCATCCACAATTAAATCAACTGCCAATTCACAGCAGTGTTGTCATCCAAACTCCAACCAAAAAACCTTCAAAATTATGTCAAATTTGCTCTCATTTTTTGTGTTTATCATATGTCAAGGACCTAGAAAAACTAGGTAAAATAAACCAATCTGATTTAAAGAAGTGAACAGGAATGAGATACACGTAATTAGCAAAACCCAAGAGTTTCATAAATGCAATCACCAGTTCCACAAATCATTTTGTGGGAGTCTTAATGACTATTATCCTCACTAAACAACGTCATTGGTGTCCCACAGAGGAGAATCAAGGGCGTCAAATTAGTGCCACACAAAGTTGATATCGCTTAACATTTTCTCGCTATTTTGCTTGGTGTCTCCATTTACCAGACTAAATGTTATAAAACCAGGCAACAAGCAAAAATAGTTGCCATAGCCAAGAAATGTGACAAGACAGATGTTTTGGAAAAATAGAAACATGATGCACCGCCCTTAATTTCACAGAATTCAATTTTCCATTGAGCCTGCAAACTTTTTCAAGCATGAGTCATCTTATTTTTAATTCTGAAAGAGATAGTATAGGAGAAAGTTTGCTTACTATGTAGGAACTTTTTTTCAACCGAGATTATTGCTAGCATTAAAAAAATAATATTGGCAAACTGTGAAGAAATATCAAAATATCAATATTCAAACTGTGAAAAAATATGTAATCAATTTTACTTTTTGTTCTCTGACAAAACTTATCAGTGAATGATGAAGAAATATTTCATTTAAAATTAAGTTTGCCTCACTTTCACAGTTACAACACACATTGGGCATGGCCTGAGCTCAGGCATATCTTTGAAGAACTATTATAATTTTTCATAGTTTGGTGAGATATTAATCCAAAAATCATGTGTTAGGTTTCCTAATTCAAGGAACAACTATGGGCCACATAATGCAGGCTTGGCATACATGTATGATAAAATCTGCTGAGGCATAGACCACTTCTTTTTTCTGCAGACCATAAGGTTACAAGTCCTTAACATATCCATCACCAGGCGAGGGACACAGTTTAACTCAATAATACTGGAGTGCTTGGGACAATGAAAAGATTAGATTTGCACCCTATGGTAAGAAATTGTAATCATATGCACTGCTGAGACAGCGTTCTAATTATATTAGTAACAATACTCAACCAAGCCAACAGAACCAAATTGTAAATGAATTTTAGCTTGTTAGCTATAGTGTACCGGTATTGGATTAATTAGAAGTTTGGAGGTGTGTGTGTGTGTATGTGTGTGTGTGTGTGTGTGCACGTGTGTGTGTGTGTGTGTGTGTGTGCGTGCATGTGTAGGTGCATGCATGTGTGTGGATACATGTGTGTGTGCATGTGTGGATGCATGCATGCACGCATGCACTCACCATTCAATCTTCACTCTCTTCTTTATTCCATATCTTAGTCAGGCGTGGGGGTGGGGGCCTATTGGGCCTCTGTCTGATAGCACTGGCGCCCACCTGCAGGGGAGGAAAAACCGCCGACTCCACCTTACTGGGGACATCGATGGCGCCATCTACTGACCGGGTCCTTGGTCTCTGTCCAGGTCGCGGGGGTCTCTGCCCTGCCTTTTTGTCACCTCTATCTGGGGTGGTGCTGTAACCCGATAACGTGTCACTTTCAGATTGGCTTCTTTTGCTGAGTTTAGGGATTGTAACATGACCTTGTCCCACAGTGGTTCTTGGTTTTGGTTTAAAAGGTGTTCCACTCTCCTGGCCTTGACCTTGACCTATTTTTGACCGTGGTTTCGGCTGAGGTACGGTTCTTTCTGGTGTCTGATTTAATGGTGCACCATTGGAAGCTTGCTCCCCATCCTCAGAATCTCTACCATCAACTTTGTCTGATGTGGATCTCAGTTTTAAATTAGGTTTAACAGGCAGAGATGGCTTAAGTTTAGGAACTGCAGGCTTAGAGCTGTTACCTTCAACAGAAGCAACTACGGGAGAAGCTGCAGCAGCATCCTGAGGGACTGAACTCGCCTCTGGTCTCTTCCTTCTAGCTAGGATAGACTCTAATTCTGACATGTGAGATTCTCCATCGTTGTTCTTGCGTACAGGCTTAATGGCAGCTATTGGTTTCTTTGGAAGATCTGGTTTGCTGCCTATGCCAACTCCTGGTTTACTACCTGAATCAATTCCCAATAAGACAGGGGGATGTTCTGTACTGTCTTGTTTCGTCTCCACTTGCTGGGTTTTTGGTTCATGCTTATTGTCAAACCCCCCTATATCAGTTGTTTGAGGGAGATGTAATGTTTGTCCTGTAACAGTTTGTTTTATTTTCTCTGGATCAGGGGGTTGCGGTCTAGGTGGTGGAGCGCGGTGAACTGGTCTGGACACTTCAGTTGCATCCTTCCGTACCCTCTTTGTGGGAATTTTCACAAGACGAGGTATCACCCATCTTGTGGGGACAGCAGGCTTCTCTTGTCTCTTCCTTATTATAGTTTTAATTCTATGAGCCTCTAGGTCTGCTGTGCTGCTTATCAACTGTGGGCCTGATATCTCAAAACTCTTCTTGCTGGTAGCACTCTCTGGGCTTGGCAAATCTGCCATTTCTATCGACTGGTCAGGTTTTTTGGGGAAATCAATTTTCGGCACATTGGGTTTTTTCTTAACCACTGCATTGCTTGGGGAAAATGTTTTTAACTCTACATTTGCGTCAGGTGACTTTGGAGAAGACTTCTTTGCAGCTTTTGGAGCAGGTGGTGCTGGCCGTTTAGGCTTCCTCTTTAGCGTACTGCTCTTTGATAATTCTACAATGGGTGCTAGGGTAACACTTCCTGCCACACCTGATGATGTTGTTGTATCTGAAGCCAAGGTAGGTGGTGGTGGAAAATCTGAAAAACATTAAAAAATTCAATACGGTTATCTAATTCAATTAAAGTAAAGATCAAAAATTTAGAGGAGTTTTCACTAATTAATTTATCAAATTTAATATACCACTTAAAGTTTCTGGTGGAACATCTTTATAAATTTCATCTCTAACACTGACATTTTATTTAACAATAATTAAACAAAAGAAAAAATGAACAGTCAATAATACAGCAATGAAAAACAAAAACAATAAACATTTTGAAACACAGTTTGAAACACAATGCAAATATGAAAATCACATACTTAAAAACTGAAAAAACAACATGATTATAACATCCAGGCATTCTACTCTGTACATTCTCCATTAAAATGAAGACCAAAAATATGATCAAAATCATTAAGAGGAAGCCGAAGAAGAAGAAGAGAACGAAGAAGAAATAGAAGAAACAGTGTACTTAACCATTATTTCACAATCAAAGCCATACTCACCAGATGATATAAATTCGATGTATGATGCAGCAGAAACCCTTTGGTCATTGATTTGGTCAGTTGTCTGGTCAATGTCTCCTCTGCCAACACTGAGTTGGACATACTGGTAATCAGTGCTTTTAGGAACATCCTGGTCTTGGTCAATGATCTAGTGAAAAAAAAACTTTACAATGAGCATAAAGACAGTAAGTATACTTCAAAAATTGTACACTAATCTACATCTTTGTTTACTGTGTTTACAGTTAATTCTCATTACTTTCATTTTTGTTATATTTGATAAAATAAAAGATAATTCCACAACAAATTCATTTAGCTGACTTAAAAAGCATACATACTTGAGAAATCTGTCATAAGTATATTATGTGGCAACAACAACAACAACAACAACAACAACAACAACATAATAATAATAATAATAATAATAATAATAATAATAATAATAATAATAATAATAATAATAATGAAGACGTGATGCAATTTGCCACACTTACCTCTAGGTAGGAACCTGGAAACCAGCCCTGCTTTTTGCCATGGAGACCAAACCACCATCCATTTTCCATGATCTCCGTGACAACAATAAGGTCACCTGTGTTAAAGCTGAGGTCACCTGGCAGCTCAGAGTGGTATGCATACAGGGCCTGATGCTCTAAAACACAATTTGAAACACACTACATCATTATAAATATTCCATTATAGCTCAAACATACAAGGAATACTCAAATTACTCTTAACTTCACTTGTAATAATATTGCAAATTTTCAAAATTCAACATTTAATGATATTCTCAAAAACATACTGTTTTTAAACAAAAAATGTTTTTAGAGTTAAAACATTAACTCTAATAATTCTTTAAAAATTCAGAGTCACTTTTTCAGTTTAATATATATTTAAAATGATTACTCTAGCAAATAGTAAAAAAATAGGGTAAACCTGACTTAACAGTTTTTATTTACTGTATGTTGGAATTGTCTGAATGAAATGTTATAAGTCTACATAGTATGAATACACAAGGATATATGACTGGTAAGTAATGGGAATGCTAAAGCTAAACCAGGTTTTTGGGCAACAAAAAACCTAGAATCAATATCCTTTAGGTATTAAAAAATAATCTAGTATTCAAAATTAGTTCTCACCAATCCCAATGATGTCCTCTGCACCATGATCACGTTGTTGATTCCTCTTTAGATGTTCATATGCTTTGGAATACAGAGGTTCCATAACCTACCAATGAAATTGGAATAGATAAACAGCTGTTAAATTTCAAAAATTCTGAAACAATTGTCATGAACAAGCAATTAATCTAATGACATTCAACATGTTCTTCATATATCAACTATAACATGGAAAACCAAAGGCGACATGCTTTTAAGCTGTTATTAACAATAGTAAATCATTCAATTTTAAAATAAAGAAATGACAAAGTTTACTTGTCTAATTACATTATCACAGGTATGTGCTTAACTTGCAGTCAGGATGTGTTGAACTTATGCAGACATTCAATAATGAAATACCAAAACAAATTTATGGCAAAATAGCAAAAAGCAATTATAGTGCATACTACACACAAAATTAACCTTAGCCACCATTCAGAACAGTGGACTAACTAGTCCATGGATCAAAAATGGGTACCCACTGAAAACCTTGCCATCTAATCCCCTAATAGACACTGAATAGATTCCTCGCAGAAATTAGGCAACAAGCATTCAAGTGGGTCTGCCATGTTTGATACACGAACCAGTTTATCCGCTGTTGTGAATGGGACCTTAGATTACACACCTCCGCCTCAACAGACTGGTCATCCCCTCCAACCTCTTGGACGTAACTGGACGGGAACCAGCCCTCCTCTCCAGAGACGTCCAGTGTCCCCCACATCCAGTCCTGCTGGTGATCTACTGCCTTCACCACTATCACATCCCCTTCTGACAGCTCCAGCTCTCCAAACTCTGCCGCATGGTACGGGTGGAGGACTTTGTAATACTTTTCCTGAATAGTTAAATGTTCTACATGTTTATAATGTATTAATATTGTTATTGAGTATTCCCTGCATATATATATATGTGCATGCATATAAAAGATGCAATGCAAGAATCCAAACAGTGAAGCAAATCAAATCATTTGAGTCTTGATCATGTCAAATCTAAAAACTGATATTCAATAACACCAATGAATTTTGTTTTTACATATATATATGTACGTAAACTGTCTCTGGTTTTGACATAATGGATTCTGAAACATCTAAAGATTTTCAACTTACAACTGTTAATACAACAATTCATTTGTTCCTTACCCTCTCTAGGAATATGGTGTTATCATTAACATACTCATTATGTGGTTGTTCTGTCTCCTGTTTGGTTTTCTTCTTCCCAAAGGTTTCTGCTGTATTCTCAGTATAACCATAGTTAGAAATGCCTGTGGTTATAGAATAGAAAATAAAACAATAGTTAAATAAGATGAAAATCCATAACAAACGCCTTCTTTTACCTCATTAATTGAATTTTGATGCAATCAAATGAAATGCAATACTTAGTTCTGCTATTAGTACAAAAATTCATGCATCAGCATGCCTACTGATGTTTTCTGACTGACATACACACACACACACACACACACACCCACACACACTGTACATGGTCACACATGAAGGAAACATGTATACATAACTGTATAATGACCACCAGCCAGCACAATCCATACCTCTGTTTCCTTTCACCACTTCCACATAATTGCCAGGAAACCATCCCTTCTTGTTTCCCAGTTTCCCCAGCCACCAGCCACTGTCATCCCGTTCCAGCACATCAATAAGGTCTCCTGAACACAGGGAGATCTGATCCTCTGCCTGGGATTTATACGGGTAAACCACTTCATATTGATTGACTACTGGAATGACACAAGTGATACCATTACTAATTTGACATTCGAAATTTTCATAAATTCTGACCTTCCTGCTGGTCATTACTGCAGTAGACATTTTCCAATATTTACTGCACAATCCATCCAGATATCTTCTTAATTCATTTTTAAAGCTAAACGTAGAAGTAAGAAGGCCATTCACTGCAGCAAGTCCCTGCTGTACACTCAGCACAGTGAAGATTGCATCTGCTTTTCTTTTCTTTCTTTCCTTATTTTTTGTTAAGAATGTCTTTTTCACGCCCACTCACGCGGCAGTATACTTTTGTGCGTTTTTCTTCTGTTAAATATAACTGCAAAACTTAATGGACACGAAGTATAGAAAATTTTACATCATGGAATTTCGCCAAAGTGATTGCTTTGGTGGAAACTGGAAAAGATCGGCAGTGGAACTCAGCACTTAATGAAAATCAAACGGTTCGGTAACAAACAAAACGCAATATTCCTTCAAATATTATAAATAAAAGTGCTCAAAAATCAATAAACCAACCACTTTTCGGAAGTGTTCCTGTTTAGACCTCACCACTAACGTACTTCACGGGCGCTGTACGGTCAGCAGACTCCTCAATGTTTACAATCAGTAATCGCGTGGTTCCGGTTTCAAGAATTGTGGGTACAATATCTAGGTCAAGTTATAGAAAGGTAAAGGTCGAATCGGTTTGCAATCTTGTAAAACTTACTCAGATTCACATCTATCGATGCACAGCAGTAATGTGACCATGAAATTACCAAGGTTTTTACAACGAGTCACGGGCATTCGAAAGGTACGCTATGTCGGAATTTGAACTTAAAATTTCCTATCTACATCGTCACAGTCGGTGATCGAGTGAGTGACTGAGAGCATTTGTTCTCTAATAATTCTAATATTCAAATGCTTTGCAATTTGTTTATAAATGTTAATAAAGTCGATGCTTGCTTCTTATGGTCAAACTTAAAGAAAGATTTCTAATTAAAAGGTGGATTTCTTTATCTCATTTGTTAGTAAACATGTTACTGCGTTTGTTTAAAACTTTAAACCGTGGCGAGATTTTATTTACTAGTAATTATTTATGATATAAGTACTGAGTACAAACGCATGACTTAATTTTCGTGCTATAATGGAGCCTGAAAAAAAAATTACCTCAAATTTATATATAAGAATGTAAGAACTATAATAATCAAATTATTCCATGGAATTCCAACTAGCTTTTATATACTTTTCTTTTCTTTCTTTTTATTTATTTTTTTTAATAAACAATTTTTATCATGTCAATATCTCTTCCTTGCAGAAAAGGGAAAAAATGGTCCTAGAGTCGAAAAAGCAAGATACTTCAAGAGGAAATAAGCTTCTCAGAGCATACTGGGAGCCTGCCAAGAAGGCATGCCTCTCAGCACCCCAGATGGGTGGTATATATGCAATAGGATTACGAGGTTTTAGGCATCCCATTTATATTGGACAGTCTAACAACATCAGAGACAGACTTCAAACACACTTTAGAAAGTCTTCCAATGTACAAGCCGTAGACAAATTTGTTAACATTATACCAAAGAGATTATTCAAGGTGAAATATGTGCAGGACAGGCACCATAAAGATTATGAAGGAGTCTATCTTGCACACAATCTGAAACACACAGGATCATGGCCAGTGTTTAACTTAAAACATGGAAATAGTCGAAAGAAAAAGAGCTTCTGGAAATTTTGGGAATGGTGAAGACACCTTTGATTATTAATAATGTGTTAGAGGACATTTTACATGGTTCAGATTACTTCTCATCGGTCACTTGGCCATATTCATCCTGGCTTGATGTAGGTAATTGCAGGTGTCTATAATACAACTCTAGATAAAAAATAAATAAATAAATAAAAAAAAAATCCAAGATCCACCCTGAAATTCCACCCTTAAAACAAATGTGTGTACATAATATTCTGTTATTTATAATTTATTTATTTATGAGAGAGTGAGAGAGATTGGACTGTATAGTGCCTATAATTGGTAGTATATGGATGTGGCAGCCTTTTACTGAATTCCAAAAATGTTTCTATTTTGATTCCACAAATATGACTTGTATTGTTTAGATGCCATCTGAGAGCAAGTGATGAAAGTCTATTCACAGTTACAGAAAAAAAAAATTAGTTACCTTCAGAAGTTCCTTCTTCTGCATCCAAGGGGCTGGAAATGACTTCTTTAGATAATTCTCTCCCAAAATGTCTGCCAGGTTTATGTATTGGCTGAAAAACATAATAAATATAAAATGAACCTTGTTTCTGTTTTTTTTTACTATAAGATTATAAATTATTAATTTACCTTTATAACATACTTCTTTTGCACCAAAAACAAAAAATCCTGCTTTATGCCAATGTTACTTAAGCTAACAACTGACCAGTTTATAATAACCAATGTGACAAACAATTATCAGAAAAAAAAACTCCAAATTAACCTATCCATATAAGATTCCATTTCAATAAAATACAGTTGGTGACAATTTTCACAAGTACACTCTATAATGATCTCAGCTACACCAGCCGTAGATGTCTACCTACATCTCGATATCTCCGCCTCCTACAGCAAATTATGTACAGGACACCTGCCGTTACCACTCCTATCAATACTACCACCACAGGGACTGATATCACAACTGCTGTCATCTCTGGGGACAAGCCTGGAGAAAATTGTTCACAAGACACATTTAGCCAGATGATTTACAATAAAGACTTACAATAAAGAATGTTTATATAATTTATTACAATCAATTCCAGCTCTTTTGAATGGAATTATTGTATTCAATAAGTGTAGCAGAAATACCTGACAATGTTTATTTTTAAAAGGCATTTCTGCTACACCTGTGTGGAAAATACTATAAAATAAGTCATTCACATTTCAATAATGTGATGTCATTAATTGCAGAACATGTCTAAGAAATGCAATGCACAGTTAACTTGCCATGTCTCAAGCAGTCATAAAAATTCCATCTAATCTATAGGCATAAGAAATTCACTTTAACAAATATATCACCTTTAAATTTGAAAGATTATCATCACTTTACAAAATACTTACAAACAGGTATAAAAGTCTAATCTACAGGCATAAAAATTTCACTTTAACAAAAATTTCACATTTAAATTTTAAAGACTATATTCACTTCATAAAAATACTTACAAATAGGTTCAAAATTCTCTTACCTGTCTGTGCTTTGACTATGGTGGCATTACTCTCTGTGCTACTAACTGGGAGACTGGTGGTGAGTATTGGAGTACTGGAAGACTGGGTAGATGACCCCTGGGTACTGGCTGTTGACCCTGGGGTACTGGTTGTTGATCCTGGTGTACTGGTTGTTGATGATACTGTCGTTGTAGAGGAAGTTGATGATGATGTTGTTGTTGTGGATGAACTAGTCATAGTTGTAGGTAATGTTGTTGTTGTTAGTGTCATAGTTGTAGGTAATGTTGCTGTTGTAGTAATAGGTGGTGCTGTTGTTGCTGTCATAGTTGTAGGTGCTGTTGTTGTTATTGTAGTTATAGGTGATGTCACTGTTGTTGAAGGCCTAGTAATATTTGTATCTGAAATTGTTGTTAATGACAATGTTGTCATTACTGTAGAACTTGAAGATGAAGATGAAGATGTTGTAGGTGAAGAAGAGGTACTGGTAGGAGTACCTGTAGTTATATTAGTTGTTGGGGTTGTAATATCTGTGGGTGTCACAGGCACAGTTATAGGTATTGCTGTTGTTGTCGCACCTGAAGATGAAGTTGGTGGCAAAGTTGTTGTTGTTATTGTTGTTGTTGTATTTAAAGTAGAAGTTTCTGTAGGCAATGTTACTGTTGAACTTTTTGGTGACAACACAGTTGTTTTTGTAGTTGCTGTTGTTATGGAATATGAAACAGTTGTACTTAATAAAGAAGTGTCTGTGGAATTAGTTGTTGCTGTCAAATTATTCACGGTCACTACTGCCACGTTTCCTTGAGTTGTGCTGATGCCTGCAGCTTCCCTTGTGATAGGTATGGTAGACGAGGTGGTGGTGACAGCTGTCTTTCCTGTAGTTGTTGTTGACAACTCTGTTGCCATGGTTACAGTCTGATTCACAGCATTCTCACTCGGAGTTGAAGCAGTTGTGGCAGTACTGTTAGCCATTGTTGTTGTTGTTGTTGTTGGCATTTGTTGACTGGTCTGTTTACTGTTATCAGTACTTGTTGTTGCCATGGTAGTGTTAGTCACACTTTCCAGAGGCGCAGTTGTCAGCGAAGAAGAATAAGACTCATTAACTGATGGTGAAGCCAACGAAGTTACAGTTAAGTTAGTGTTCTCAGTTGAGGTGAAGTTACTGCCTCCAACAGCAGTGAATGGTGTTGTTATAAACACAATACTTAACCAAGTTAACCAGTACAAACTCATGGTTTGGAATGTTAAAGCTATCATCTTCCTATAAAGAATCATTGCTAAGTAATGGGAGCATACAAATATATATATAAACGCTGAAGACACTGTTATATAATGTGGAAAACTTATCAAATATGGAATGGTGAATACAAAATGGAATGCTTAGGTAAACTGTCTTAAAAATGTACAAAAATATGATTGTCTGATATACTTAGCTTTTCTGCAAGACTAATTTGTAGACAAAAATTATTTGAGAAAATCACATTGATACGAATACCATCTCTATTTAACACTGTAAATGCACCAATCTATAGTTTTGTCTTGTCTCTTTTCATCAACAAGATAACAAGGCATCTCTGGATAACCTCTAACCTCGTATTTCATACACTGCTTTGGTTCTTTCCAACCTAGTCAATACATTGCAAAAAGACCATATTAAAGCCACAAAATAATTACAGCAGTTTCACTGTTACTGTATGAATCATCACTTGCCGTGACAGCCAGAACAACTGCAGAAAGCCTCTTTCTCTGGTGGCTGGTCGCAAACAACTTGTTTTTCTCAGTGTCTAAAACGGAGTCAATATGTTTCACAGCTGTCCTCATTCAGTTGAAGTGTTACTTTGCTACTTTTAGTCAACCAATTTGATTATTCTCTCAATGCTGCCAGCACGATCTATACTGTCTATGCGTTTCTTTGCCATCTAAGTGCAGCCAACATATTCTCTTGTTGCCTAAATGCAGGCAACTTTTTTTTTGTCAATGTAAATAAGTCAGAGTGTTTAGTTGCTAAATGCTGAAACTTTTGTTTCTTTTTCATAAGCACAAAAGGTACAGTTAATCTGATCCTTAAATTTTAGCTGATATAATTGAGTATGAGGCCTCCAGTATATATATCTTTGTGTGCACCAGGGTTTCTCTTTCTTGGTACAGTGTACCTTCCATGCGTGTTCATAAATATTATTGTCCATTCAGAACACACGATCTTTCTGAAACACCACGCCCTACATGCAATATTTTACATAGCTCATTGCAGCAGTGGTCATAAGGATAATGAAAGAGCAGAAAACACCTGATGACCGACAGTGTTAGTGCTGTCACATTGCTGTCAGTGCCCCACTCCTAAAAGCCCCAAATGCGACTATTCGCATTTTCTTCCTTCAAAGTATCAATCCATATTGACAGAACACAAAATTTTGTTACTTTCAGCTTTGTGTCTCCTTTGAGTGCTTCCTCTATCTGCTTCCTCTCACCTTGATATGTGAGTGATTGTAACATGACACACCTGTACCATCAGTTCTTGAGTCACGTCTGATTTATATTTCATGAGACAGTATCAGTATCAGTTTCGTGGTAATCTAGACATTGCTTCCTTCTGGCACTAAAACGCAAACAGAAACTGGTCAGCAAGAATGACACACACACACACATATGAAATTAAAAACAAAGAAGCCAGATAAAATGTGGTCTATTTTAGATAGTCCATTATACTGGTACAGAAAGAAAAAGAAAAAAAAAAAACATTTAATTTAGTGACTAAATGTGAAAATGTATCATGGGATCTTCTTTCTTTTGCTAAAATGAACTTAAAAAGCGTGACTTTTGGAAGTACATGTAATTATATATATGTGTGTGGGATTCAAATGTTCCTTTTTCCATTTTTTGTAAATTAAACCAACGAATCAAGATCCATGACAAGGATGCCATAAAACAAATTTCAATTTAAAAATGCCCAACCTGAGGATAGTATCATATGTCAGTTTTTGTTTAAGTGGATACAATGCAGTTTGCTCAGATATAGATTCTATTCATCTTGTAATATTTACTCTCTTACCAAAATAGTCTAATCCTTCGGGGCAAAACAAATCTAAAATATGTAAGGCAGCTTCCAAATAACTTCCTGGTTAAGAGCATACAACGGGAAACAATATTACATCAAACTTCACTGACTGGAATGATGTCCACCCTTTGTATGTTGACATTTTATTTTATTATGACATTACATAATAACTGTCATTTAACATGAATATTAACATGTGCACACAAACAAAACAAAGAGGTTATGTTTTGATGACTTGATAAGTGATTGTTTTGTATTTTACAGTAATAATTTAATTGTATAGGTGTCAGGCACAAACTAAGTCTTTACCATCTTCTATGGAGGATGGTCATAATGTACGTACTCAAAATACACTGTACACATGTCAATAATGCAATTAAAATAAGTGGACACACCCTGATGAAAGACTGTTAACCTAGATTTCTGCATCTCTTGATGAGTGTGATATTGTGAGAAGAAAACTCTGACAAAAATATTTTTCAGTTAAAACCAGTTATTCAGTTTTTTTCTTTTTCTTAGCAATTTTCTATCTATTAAGTGTCCCAAAGATGATGAAGGCCATGGAACCACTTCTATCTACTTTTTTCTTGCAACCCCAAATCACATATAAAATCCAAACAAAACCTTACAAGTTACCTCACTGGCAATATGACACCTATTTTGTGCTTAAACACTGCCTGGGTGTTATAAAAAGTCTGAGCCTTTTAAAAAATGCCCCAATGTAAATTCCATGTCTGCATGCAGTGACAAAACACTGTACTAGTAGTATAGTAAAGTTACCTTCTATAGAGAAATTTACAGGCTGTTAGACACCATGGAAAAAGTTGAATTATACCCATACGCAGAAGAATTGAAATATTTTCAAGATAAACATCATCTGTTCAGTATTTATTTATTTGTTTACTTTATATTATTTATTTACTTTTTTTTTTTGTAAATGCACAGGGAATATTTTACAATAAAAGGGCTCAACAGTGAATGGTGTACAATACGTATGAAAGTTGTATTTTCGTCTGCCATCTATGAGTATCATTTCTCCAGCAGCAGTTCTGTTCCTTGACATGAACACCTACCAATACTACATAGTACTAGTATGCTCTCTTCTACTCCTTCCAAGGAATGCATCTCTCTTTTACTTTTCAAGTAATTTGAGATAAACCCTTTTGTCAGAAAGAATTTAAACAGGTTTTGGGACACAAACGTATGACTTAGACTTACTGCACAAGTGGCGGTAAAAATCCGAATGTAATTCATATACCAGTACTAGTAGAAACGTTTATTTAATAATTACAAGGGCAAATCCCTCCCCCCTCCCCCCCCCCCCCAAAAAAAAGTCACAATATTCCTTTAATTATCCAAACTGTAGGAAAATTCATATGGAATATCTGTTCATTATTTACAATTATCAATTACATTACACATTACTCAGTGCAATATATACACTCAGATAATATTAACTTTATCCACGTGTGTGTACATCTCAATACTCACCTATGGGCATACGTATATACACAAAAGTCATCAATGGTGGCATTTTCCAGAGAAGTCCACCATTTCTTCAACCCTGCAGAGTACGATATGGTTCTTAACTCTTGCTTGCTGTCTACAGCTGAAAGACACAACCAAACACAGATGATGTTGTCCTGTAATAGTATAACATAACTATATTATTCCATAATGTGTATACCTTTCCACAAGCACGGAGGTGACAGTTTGTTTTTACAGACGCAATTCCCATGACCCCTACCCACGACACTCCACTCCTCCACACACACAACGCACCAGTCAACTAATCCAGCTTATTTTTGAGCAACATGCCATCATAATCTCCTCTGCTGTCCTAGGTGAATAGCTCTCCTTGTTTGTCTGTCGACAGAATATGATAACTGGGAGTTGACTACAGACACAGCTGAGTCATCCTGGGGTGGTTTTGTTGTATCTTCCTTTGGGATTCAGTGAACCATTCAACTACTGGTAAATGTAGTGTCAGAATGAACAAGGAAGAAGGCATACAAATGTGTAATATAACTTCAAGCAATGACTACAAATATTGACAAAATTTCAAGTAATATTACATGATGTGGGACTGTGGCTTAATTATATGTTTGTTCAGATATAATAGCTGTATGCTCATGTGCACTGTTAATATTACTCTGAAGTGGTTTTAGATGGTATACACTGTGCTGTGCAAGCACATGCAGGTACAAGTAAAAAAGAAGTAATAATAAATAACATATGAAAGATGTGCAAAGTTATTTTTAAAAGGGTTGATTTATATAAGTAACTATTTGAAGCCCAAATTTTAGAGATGTATGAAAAGCCACTTAGAAAAAATTTAATAAGAATTTTTTTCAGTGTGGAACTATTTGCATGACCTCACATTTAGTAAGTATATAACATTTTTAAAGCCATTTCCTGCTACAAATATGCCAGGAGGGTCTGAACCACGCCCTTTTGGTCACCTTTTAAAGGGATAACAACAGTTTGTTTTGGTCGAAAAAAATGATTTTCCTTGGGTAAATGACAATTACTCCATACTTCCCAATGGATAATGATTCCATTCTGACATTCAAAGTTAGCCCATGATTTTTTTTGTCTATAATTTTTTTTTGTTTTTTGAAATTATCTCTTATGAGATTATTACAGAGGTACATGTAATCGTGATAACCACTGTTCTGGTGTTAAAATGGAATTTAATTATTATATTTCTATGACTTGTTAACAATGTTTTTATTGTGAAATATGAATCCCATATAAACAGCTATTTTCTCTTTAAATAGTGAACTAAATCAAAAAAAATCCGCTGCACCCAGATTTGCAAAATAATTACTTCTTCTTTTCAGGTAATAAAGGAGGAATATAGGCTTCACATCTGTACAAGGTAGTTACATGTTCTTTAAAACGTACTAGTAAATCTCATGACTGTATTTATACTACATATTACTTATTTACTGCTTTCTAAATGACTTTCAGTGATCCAAATACAATGTCTAATTGTACTAATTCATTTTCACAGACGCATATGCAGCCACAGAATGTGAATATCTAAGTCAATAAAATATAATTTGTGTGTACCGACCAAAGAAAACTAGCTTCTGTAATATGTGACAATTAATTAAAATATTGTCGATGAGCAATGCTTATATAGTAAACTGTAATGAAAAATAGTGAATGAATAGAAAATCATTTGATTATCAATGAACGATCCCTGTAGCCCCACGGTTTTTGTTACAAAGGTTAGTCAAACAGTAACAAGTTAGTAGGAACAATTCGTTTTATGAAGGTTTATAATATTACACTATGGTTCAGACTTACCGCAAATAATAGAATGCTGTTGTTGTGATCAATGTACTTTTATCTCTTTGATGCTGCTGATGAGTGAAAATCATATTAAACGGTGTTTTCTCCATGTACGCTGACACGAAACGAAACTCCACTTCCGTTTTACTTCCTGGTAAAAGCCCCACGTGCCATTGTAAGGAAAAGCGAAAACAAGTTATCAAGACCTGACACGACAAGGGAGGTACGGTAAGAACTTGAGAACGAGTTTTTAACGTAGTGTTGAAATGTGAATAATTCAGCACATTTTCTATGTATGATATTATTAAAAGTAGCAATATAAATACCTGTAATATTATATGCATATTAAATTAATCGTTGGAATAATATCAATTTCTCCCCCAATAATTTTTACTTTCAGTTTCTGTCACCGTACTGTCTCATACACTGTATAACCTGTGGGAAGTCAACGTATACTAACAGTACAAGGATGCCAAAGCAAGAAGAATGGGCAGATTTAGTTGGGAAAGTAAGTATTATAACACGCAAATATATACAGATTACCCTGAGCTTCAGAACTTGAAACAAACCTCTACAGTATAGCATACCCTTGCCGTTTCGCTATAGTGCAGATGTTTGTTTCAAGTAATCTCTGAAGCTCAGGGGTATGAAGCTGTGCTCGACTGTCCTTTGAGCGGTTTATCAATCTATAAGCTGCTTCAAATGACCTCTGTAATAGCACACTTGTCTAACGTGATGTGAAAACCAATCACATTTGGTAAAATATTTTTATGTGAATTAAGCAATTGTTCCATATTTATTTCATAATATTTCAGTTCATATTCTTTATAATTCAATTATCAATTTTTATTTTCCAGACAGGAGAAGAAGCTAGAGAAGTTATCAGTAAATCAGACCCAAACCTCACTGTAAGTGCTTAGTTAGCATTCAGATTTTTCTTCATTTAATACAAAGGATCAGCAGAATAAACTGCAATATTTTGTAATTACTTGTAAAAAGAAAACTGGAAAAAATGAGACACTGTAGAACAATGCATTGGGTGCTGTGATAGTTAAGACTGAATGAATAAAAAGTTTTATCTAAGTTTACATTTTATATTTAATATATTTCAGATCCAGATTATTCCAGATGGCTCAATGGTGACAATGGACTATGTTACAGAACGTGTCAGGATATTTGTGGATTCTGAGGGCAAGGTTGTGCGGCCACCTCGTATAGGATAGGGAAACTATGAAGATGATAGAGAAATTTATATACTCCTAAGAGAGCTGCAAGGGTTGACTTTTCCCATCTAGTCATTGAAGCTGGGATTGGATACTGTGCAATAATTATATGTTAATCACCTCTTAAGACTGATCTTGAACGGCCAAAAATTAACTGCCAAAAATTGAAGAGATTCAGACACATTGCAACTTAGTTATGCATTCTATAGACATCAACAACTTGAACATGCGAAATGGAACAGGGTGTCGGTCTTAAAATATATATATATTTTTTTGATAAGGTGTGGAATTTTAAATAGTTTACATCATGGCAATTTAAGAACAAATTTAGTATTTTTGTCATGCAAAGTAAGTGTAAAAACAGATGACTAATTTTAATATTCCGACAGAATAAATACAAACTGAGTATTACTTTTAATTTAACATCAGTTTATTAACTTTTTTTCAAAAATCATGATCTCATTTAAAATCTTTGAAAGATTAAAAACAAACATATTAAGTATTTATAAATAATCAGCCATGATCTAGGTTATAAAAAGCATAAAAAGCTCTTATCAGATACTCTAACAGAAAAATTATCTTGTATTAATAGGACTAACATGATAACAATTAAAATCTGTATTTGCTACGTACAATAATAAATATATGTTAACAGATAGGTATTTCTATGTATGGTTCTCTAAACAGCTGCTAGAATTGTATAACTGATTTATTCCTCAAAATTAATTTTTATTTTATTAATATAGTGTCTCTAGTATTTTTTCTCCTATAAAACAATAGATGTCAGTTAAAATATTGAAGACACTTGGTATCTAAAGATTAAATTAACAGGCAAATTTTCACAGAAACATCCACATTTTTTTGTTTTAGAAAAATAATGAAAAAAAAACCCTAAAGGGAACCTGCATGAGACACATGTACACATAATACTTCTTTCCTAACAGACCCCCATATTGACAGCCTGTTGAGAAGCGTTTCCAGTCATCTTATTTTTGATGATAATAAAAGACAATCTATAAATATACTTGCTGAGTTCAAGCTTTAAGGGAGAAGATAAAATTGTAAATTATGCCTGCCACAATGTAACATATTGTTCAAGGGCAAATTTAAGATTTGTTCATTAGGATATTCCATCTTAATATATCTTTAACAAGTACATATTAATTGAGCCATATCTGTTACGAACTTTGCTTTTGTCTTAAAGATATACCAGAAGATGAATTGAATTGGTCAACAGTGTCTTTCCATGCTGTCATCTTTAAAGCACCTCAGAAAAGCACACAAACTGTAAAGTATACCTCCTCAACCTGCACCATGTTCTTGATAGGAACATAGACACAAGACGTCCCAGTAAATGGCACCTTACTGACTAAAAGGTACAAAAATATATAAGCATACCTAAACCGCATGCGTATCGGAGGTATAAATTTTGATCAAACCCTCTCCATGGTGTTCACAAGTTCACCTCGTGTGACCCTGAAAAATGGTCAAGTTGAACTATCTAACAATCTGTCTTAGCACCCAATCCACTTTGGTGGATCTACTAAGGCTCTATTCCCATAGATTTTAGATCGATCTATCCCCGCGGGGAGTCTCACTAGATTACTTTCAGATAATCCGACTTGAATGTCCGTCCCGCCTACTACAAGCTGTAAGAGGGTAATTAACTTTCGTGTCTGCCCGGCTGACAGCTATTTAGCGTGAACCCCCAGGGAGTTAGGTCGATCTAAAGTAGGTCGATCTAATCTATGGAAATGGGGTGTAAGCCCCCCATACCCCATTCTGTATTTTTCCCGCACACCTAGTTTGTGACGCAAAAGGACCAAAGGATGCAGAACTCCACAGATCTAAGCATGAGGTTAATTCCCAGATGACAACCAAATGTTCAGGGCAGGCACAGTTGTTGGTGACATTAGGTGTCCATAAAATCTATGTAACAGCTCTGGTTGTTCACCATATCTCAGTTGTGGGGGGCTGCCAACAATGAAATGCAGGACACAATTTCAAGCAAACGCGCCCCTGCAGTGAAAAATAACAGAATTTTCCTCCTGATTGTTTTGTGTCCTTTGACTGATACAAATGCAAGGTTTCAGCTTTGCTTAAATTTTAGCAAAATTATAAAGTAATTTAAGAGAATTTTAGGTTTTCCTCTTTAAATCAGTTTTAATAATGTACCACTTAAAAATCTTATTATCTAAAAAGATTTCCTGCCCCCCCCCCCCCACCTTTTTTTCCCGGCACAAACCTGACGCAATTCATTTTCGCCAGGAATAAAAACATTCTTTGCTTTTGTAGTAACACCAGTTCAGTTCAATACTAAAATAAAAACTACAGCAGTCATGGAAACCAAGCAGTTAACTACAAGACAAAATGTCTATAAGCAAATGTCTTGTTTTATATATATATAAACTTGAAGGAAAATACTGTAATTGGCCGCTCAAAATGGAATAATTGGGGCCTGTTCAGAGCCAAGTTGATCCGTGGATCAATTAGTCCTGGGTTCAAGTTGGTTCTGAACATGCCCTTTGCCTGTCTGGTCCTGCAACAATGGCAGTATGACAGTGTGTGAACAATTCAAGGTTTTTAATCATGTCAACAGTGTCAATATTCCTCGATACAAACTAACAAACTTCAACATATACACATAACTACAAAATAAAGACATGCTGAAAACTTTTAAAAACAGCCAGACATTCAAACTAGAAGTTTTTTGAATTAAGCCGAATTGAAGGGCTTTTTAATGTACTGACTGTAAATTGAACATGGTGGCTGTTAAAATTTTTGCCGGTGACTTTCATTGACTGAACACAATTTTCTATCAGTCCTTAATTTTTTCAGTCATTACAGTAAGGACCAACAATTTCAGCATGTCTGAATATATATTTTGGAGATCAATCATAATATGGACTACAAAAAATTATTTAACTTATGTGCCCTTCAGCAAAGAGGAGAACTGTTGGGGAGAAATAGCGACTCTCCAACAGAGTTCGTCCTGAAATGTCTTTTTGTAAGATTGCATAGAAATTATATACAAAACTGTAAACATCACGTTTCATATGACATTTGCAATTCTTCCATTCATTCTTTCAATTTTTGCCATTACAGAAGATATAAAACATCTTCACACGGTTTTCTTACCTATTTTGAATAAAAAGAAAAACAAACTTGAAAGTTCTAAGGCGTGTATGTGGATTTGCATATTTTATACATTATTCCTCAAACGCTGAGAGGTATTTGTAATTTGCTAATGTTATACTGACGGTATTTCCACTGTTTCAGTTCTCAAGTGTGAAACCCTTTAGTTGATGTCTTACTGAATATATACGCAGGAAGACAATGTTTTAATATATGGCCCCATTTCTTAATTGGCAAATGTCAACAACTGGCATAAGATAGACTTTCGGGTAAAACGCAAATATCAGAAATGGTGCACGGAGCTATAAATGGTCACAGAAGAGAAAAAGTTGAGTTTTCCCCTTAAGTCTCAAAAAATCTTACGCATACAGAAATGACGACAGCTTTGAAACCCATTCATCAGATGATTATCCAGGACACTGGCCCAAGTCCACTGATGGGGCAGCCAGAAAATAAGTTCCCTGAATATTAACACTGAATAAACCATGTGACTTGACATTCCCTGTGATGAAGTAATGAAGCCTCCCTGGGAATGGAGTAATGGAGCCTCCCTGGGGAGCTGCAATCAGGCCATTTAACCTGTTACCGGTAGATAAGTGTAACTTTAAGGCATCTTTTGAATGAATATCTTAGTCCACATACTCTCCATCTTCCACTAGTTTACTTAGTTCATTTTGGATTTCTTGAAATCTTGGCCGTCTGTCAGCTTCCTGAATTTGAAAGAAATGTAAACAGTATTATTAGACAAGCAATGATGACTAAGCTAGTAAAACTTGAACAATGACAGCTACAGCTTAGAGGGGATTTTCTCTTTTTGAGGTGTATAAAAAGTTTAATGAAAGGTATTTTGGATGAATCAGAAAAAGGAAATTCGTGAGAGGGGGATTTTTCTCCCCTGTCAGCATTACTTCTTCCCCTCCCTATAAATGCAACATAAATATCTAGACACCCAAATAAAACACTGCACCATCAAAACCAAAATTGTTAAAATTTTTCAAAATTTGAAATGAAGTGGTATTAAGCCTGAGACCCTTTCTAAGTTTAATTTAAACAAATGAAGTCTGCTAACGTTCAGTTAAAAGTGCTTAAAAACGGAAGGTCAAAATCAATAGTTAAGTGATGTGAATGAAATCTTTTGTGAGCTATGATATTGTCTTAGGCTGTACTCCCAGAGCTTTTAGATCAATCTATCCCCGCGGGAAGTCTCACTAGATTACTGTCGGATAATCCGGGTTAAATGTCCTACAGCCCCTTACAGCTTGCCTATTACAAGCTGTAAGGGGGTAATTAACTTTCGTGTCCAACCGGCTGACAGCTATTTAGCGTGACCCCCCAGGGAGTTAGGTCGATCTAAAGTAGATCGATCTAATCTCTGGAAATGGGGTCTTACCCTGTGCCAACATGAGTACATCTGCTCATAAATAATGGATGGGCAAGCACCAGGCTTGTCAAGACGTTTATTTTTCTGTATAAACTCTGCCACCTCTGCGTTTCTCATTCTGCCATAAGGCATGTCCCCTCCTGTGAATATCTCCCACATTAAAATGCCTGGAATACAAGCAAACACAGAGATGCACGAGTAAGAATTTTCAAATCGCATTAAGAAAACCATGAATGTTAAATACACTGTAACTTTTAAGATGAGCTTCCACATTATTCTATGTAAAACAGCATATTCTATAGCAATTACAGTAAAGTTAATGGTAAAGGGACTTTGCCAACTCTATAAAAACAGAAACTGGTGACAAATGATACTTTTTGGCTGAATATAAATAGTCAAAACTTTATATTTCCCTCCTATATATTCACATTCACTCACCAAAAGACCAGACATCAGATTTACTGCTGAACCTTGTGTAACATAACACTTCTGGTGGTGCCCATTTAATTGGAAACTTGGTGCCACTAGAACTGGTGTACTCGTCATCTAAAACGTACCTAGAAAGGAGGATGGGATCAATATTACATGTTATAAATCACCTCTCACATCTCCAGATAAGCAAGCTATTACGTAGTCTTCTTGGGAAGATTAGACTGTTGAAAACATAATTTCCATCAAATTCAGTCAATTCAGAGTTTGACTAACAACCTTGTTTGTAAATCCATCATGTATCATGTGGACTATATTTCAGCAATTTCCTTCAACACAATTCTGACACCAAGGAAAGTTCACATCAGTCCACTTTTTACATGACCATTTCTCTATCAGTTATCTCTTGAAGCAATTCTCTCTCTCTCTCTCTCTCTCTCATAAATAAATAAATAAATAAATAAATAAATAAATAAATAAATAAATAAATAAAAACTTAAACTCTCAGTACCTAGCCAGTCCGAAGTACCCTTCTTTGACAACATTGTCTGCGCCTATCAAGTTTTGAAAGAAATAATTAAATCAAAAAAATCAATCAATAAATAAATAAAATAAAATAAAAAACTTGAACTCTCAGTACCTAGCCAGTCCAAAGTCCGCCACTTTGACGACATTCTCTTCCCCCACCAGACAGTTCCTGGCAGCCAAGTCCCTGTGAATAAAACTCTGTTCCTCCAGGTAAGCCATGGCCTTGCACACCTGTAGACACATGTCCAGCAGTAGACCCGCCTTGTTAGACTGGAGTAACCTGTGCTTGTGGCGACGTAGGTAGTTCAGGAGGGAACCTGGAAGATAGGAAAGAAATGGCTGTCATGTGATCGGTTCTGTGATGAAGTTTGTGTATCAGAAAGGATTTTAAATGGTATGACTTAATTTTCTATCATTAAAAGATTTTGATAAAAGTAAGAGAGAAAACATTTTTATAAATAAAGGGCAAGTTATTGTATTAACAGAAAGGAAACATTGTCTGAATCACTAAAAAGTTGCTTTTGCACCAGGACCCTATAATTCTAAGTGTTAAACAAAATACATAGAAAATAGAATACAAGAGATTCTGGTCAATAAAGATTACACAGAGTATTGTAATGTAATATATGTTGTCCTTTTTAATAAGAGATACATGCATAGCAATATGATGTTAACAGCAAATATATCTTAACAAATAAGTAAATGTTTCCAACATACCATGTTTCATAAATTCTGTTACAATATAAATGGGTCTCCTCTTTGTACACACTCCATATAACTGGACTAGATTGGGATGCTGTAATTGTCTGAAGAAAATATAACAGAGAATTAAATAAAGTAAGCCTGATGAAAACTATTACAACTCTGGTCACATCAGCAAATTATGCCATATGATATGTCCCAGATCAAATATTTAAGCATATAACTTAAATCATCTTTTGAGTGTGACAGTGGTAACACACATTCAAATACTTGTAAACCCTATTTAGCTTTCATCTGTACACCGACAATTGTCATATTTCAACATTCCATCTATCTTTCTTCTTGACTAAAGAATAGCAATACATTTCCACTTAGACAAGCATAATATGTATATGCATGTTATCTATTTAACTTACTTCATTGTCCTGGCTTCCTCAATGAAATCATCCTCAGACATCGTTCCTTGGTGCATCATTTTTACTGCCACCTCGATGGCACCGCGCCATTTGGCCTTGAACACAGTCTGAATGAAAAATAAAAAAAAGTTATGTTAGGTCTATGAATAATCTTGCAAATTTTACATACTGGTATATAATGATAGTATTATCTGCCTCCAGGATCAAGTTATTTCAATCTATTTACAGGGATGAGACCAGACCTCACTGAAAAGGGGGTCCAGGGCACGATTCACAAGAATGACCCAAATGACCCTGAAAAAGTCAGAATTCCGACAGAAGTCAGAAAAGTCCCATCAGTATACTTAGTTTATCAGTTCACTTGCAAATACAATATATTTAAAGGAATATACATATACAGGCATAGGGACCTTCATTTTAAAAATGTCTGTTCCTATGACCTCCAGAAGTACTTACCCCAAACTGTCCTCTTCCTAGTTCCAGACCTAACTGCAGCTCTGAAGAGTCAATCTCCCACTTATCTGAAACCAAGAGAGGATTAGAAATATTGGCAAGAAATTAGATATATATTGGTGCTGTGACTTTGCTTATTCAATATTATTTGTCTTATTCAAAATTTTATTTATCAACTACTTTTCTTTTCAGCTACATTTTCACCCCCTTTTACATAACAAAAAATAAAAAAAATTCATAAGAATATCATGTGCCAGCAAGTCAGTTTTCTTTTCTGAGTTAATTTAAAAACACAATGACAATGTCTTCACAAGTTCACAAATACTCAGTAAGCAGTACCCAAAGTACAGTTATGGAGATATATGAGACGAGCCACTCACCATGGCCGAATCCTGCAGTGGCTGGTTGATGCCTACCAAACCCTGGGGTGGCCTTCAGTCTTACCACTAGACCTGTCACGAATAGATAAAACATGAAGCAAATTCTTTAAATGTTAGTGCTTGCAGGGTGATAAACTAGAATATCGCTATAAACTGTTTAAAATATCACTGTACCTGCAAAATGGTTCTTCGTGTATTAAATACATACAGAAATTAATCACTACTTTTGACAGATATATAACACTTTCAATATCTGGACACAACACTTCAATCAAAATTCCCAAAGTCATCAATGTTTTTTTAGACCAATTTACTTATAATAACATGTAAGAACTACATAAGGAACAAAATTATAAAATAAAAGTTATATTTCTCATGGCTAAGTTCTTCATTTCCTACCTGCACAGTTGTGTTTGTGGTAGTGGATGAGTTGTGGGATGGATGGATGCGGATGATTGTTTGAGAGATAATACTGTCCTGTGCTGTTCTTCTTGATGTGATAATGCCGCACAGTGCCTTCTGGTCTGTGAACAGAGCATAATATTGGTTATGGACTAGAACTGTGACCGAATCTGATTAATAAGTTAAACCTCCTGACACCTCTCTGTCAATGGTGAAAGAAAACTTAGGCTCCGTAACTCGAAAGCATTGTGAATTGCGACCGAGCGCAAGCGTCTCTGTTCCATAACTCAGCATTTACTCGCCCCACATAACAGCCTCTAAATGAAAGGTTATATCGCTATTGCAATGCTTTTGAGTTACAGAGCCCTGAATGCCATCAGGAGAACACACACAAACACACACACACACAAAAGAAGACTGGGGCAGAGCTACCATTTAGATGGATCAATTTTAAATAGTTAATATATTTTTCTGATATTATAGTTAAAAGTATATTTGCAACCTACAACAAACTTGTATTCTTCAAATACAAAAGGAAATAAATAACTAAAATAAATAAACAGAAATTCATGTCTTACTTTTCTTTGGTTAATATGGATAATGTGTACATTCCTTTTTGACTGGAATTGCGTACGAGATAGCAGCCTTCCCTGCCATCTTCTTTAAGGACCTCTTCACATCTCTGACGTGAGATTTCTGCGTAATACCATCTGGAGCGACAGGAACGTCGCATGTTAATAAATTTGTATTTTTTTTTAAATAAACTTGTTACGTTTAAATTAATCATTTATAAATAAATTTTTAAAAATTATTTATAAAACAATTTTGTAATAATTAACTTCAGAAAGTTATAAAATATACAGAATCCCATGGTTGATGTGCCAGTATGCTAGTTACAGTGCAGAATGGATTTATCTGTTTCCATGGTAATGTGTGGCACAGACCTGTAGCCAGGGGGAGGAGGGGAGGAAGGGGGGGGGTTCAAATAAACTACCCTGTTTGCCAGGAAATGATCCTTTCTTGGTAAAAATTGATCTAGGTACAAAACAGTCTCACAATAAAAGGTCCAATTTTTCAGAAAAATAGAGCCCTCCTCCCTTTGAAATTGCTTGCTAAGGGCCTAGTGGCATCTTGAAATATGTGCACACTGCACCAAGAGACATTTTCACACAATTATCAGGTCCCTGGAGAGTGACATCATCACCATTGTGACATGGCAATCTTACTTCACCCATGTGCTGAGACCTGATCATATGAAATAGCAATCAACATGACATACATCATCAAATGAGGCAGCAAAATAATTATAAATGTCATTTTTATGTATTTCACCTCTAAGTGCAGGTAGAGTTTGTATTCATAGGTTCCCAGGGCAAACTGTGTGATTCATTTGTATCACTAATTGGACAAGTCTCAGTAATTGACAAATGTCTTATATTATCAGTGAAAAACTGGGTTTCATTGAGTAAAATTATGGCTGGTAAAAATTAAAAAATTTTCTAACAAAAATACAAAGGGTCTGCTTGTTTTGGATGGTCTTGTCAATGACTTGGAAAAGATTACATGCAGAACCCATACAAATGTGCATATATTGTATCATCCTTCATCCCTTGTATCTTTCATTCTATACCAAATAAACACCATTTTCCCCTCTAGACTGGATCTTTGTTCTCCTTCTTCCGAACAATTGATCCATTAAATTGGTGTATTTGTATAATCCATCAGCTGCAATATCCATTTTTAAAACAAATACTCACTCAAATCTTTCCAGTCCATCTTTTGTTTTTTCTTGTACGTAATTTGCTGGTATGTAGCCAGATTGGCCATTTTTATTCATTGCACGCCACCAGTGTTCCCGCGTATCGTCTAGGATCTGATATTCTTCATGCTAAAATGACAATACAAAATGATGACTCAAATAGATACAAATTTGAATACCAACTTATCATATCAAATCCAAAAACAGTTCAGTCATACATATATACACTGAGCAAAAATAAAAATGCACCATGCAATTGTTAAAAAAATTATCAGCATTATGGGTTATTATAAATATTAAATCATACAAACTTTTAAGTGAATTTTGTAGTTCAATGTGCTACAGATTACTGACCATAGCCCATTATATGTTACATAAAAGATTCACATGGAGTGCTTATATTTTTGCTCATATATATAATATTATGCTATTTAAGCAGTAAGTCTAACGTCTTCATTTGTCACCTTTCTGCAGTTCTACACTTACAGAGAGCTTCCTGATAAGACCAGAATGGCGGTGTATTTCACCCACTAACGGCAATGATCTGGTCCAGGAAAGACCCGGTTTAAAACACTGAGCTTTCATCTTGTAAACACTGACCGATCAGTGGGCAACATTGGCGTTAAAAAGTATGCAAAGACCTCTGCTCCAGGGTTTTAAGCTTGTCCCACACGTATCTAATTGACAGCGAATGGACTCTACCAGCACCCCACAGGTGGTCAATTGTACCTGGACAGTCTTTAGGTTTTTCTAAACAATGGTCAATTCATAGACAATAACAGTCAGGTACTATTGTCTAGTTGGACCGCACTGGCAACACTTAACTCCTCTTTAAACATGAAAACTTAATCTAGAGCTTCATTAAAGAGCGAGCAGTGCACCTGTCATTAAAACTGACATGTCAAAATATTTCAGAGCTATCCATTCTAATGAGTTTCTTTTTATAAGAAGGTTTTTCTTTTTATTAGAAAGTTTTTTAAAAAATTTCAAAACTACCAACCCCATTCATGATTCAAAAAAAAATTGCAAAATATGCATCTGGACTCTTAAGATTAAAATCAATTGCAAGTGAGAATGTCAATTAACTTTTTGTGGTGACCCCTAATTGTAATAAATATGCTATAAAGCAACTGGATGACATTTATCAAAAAAAGAAGGGGGGAGTTGAATGTGGGTCTTAAATTGAAGACTGGGAAATTTTCACTAACTTTCCACCAGGAGAAACATTCAAGTTTTTAAAGAAAAGGCCACCAGTAAGTAGCCTTCTACCTAGATGAAGTGATGAGCTTTAATGGCCATTAAAGCAATTTATTTCCTGTGTTTTTAGTAGACGGTAAATTTTGCTTCCTGCTATAGCACTTTGACTCCCAATTGTGGTTTGTTCTAAGACAGTATCAGAGGGCTATTATGAATCATATACAAATAGTTCATTTCACCTGGTTTCAAAGTAACCATACCAGCACCTAAAAAGTGAACTTTCACTTTATCTCTTTACATCATTTGCCAAAATAAACGAAGCATTATATTGATATCACTCCGAAATCAAAGTGAGGTCAAAATGACATCGTTTCTTTGTTAGTCCTTGTGAACAGGATTATCTCTCTCATCAACCTTTTTCTTGTTTTGACAAATAAGTCAGGAGAAACACTACTTATTGATTTCATCTCACAAATTGTCTTTAACTAATGTACTTGTCACTTCCATATTTTTTGATAGGATCAACACCAGAATGTATTTATAGTACTGAACTACAACTTAGTCTAATAATAACTTGATGTATTTTATGAGTTGCTGTTTGTTTTCCCTGTGTCACTTTCATAAAGGTATAAGATAAAAGATCTACACCATCTTACATAAACAAAGGTTGGTATTCTTTCACTGTCTTTCAGTGTCAAATGAAAATTACCTTACATGGATGAAAGAAAATAATACTGTACAACAAAAAAGAAGAAAGAATACAAAGTTAATTCCCTTTTGACCTTTTAAACAAATAATACAGCAATTGTATTCAAGGTCTACAATTCTATATACAAGCTACATATATATAAGCTATGACCTACCCGTCTTTTTTTGTGATCAAACATAACGTTGTTCTGATGGAAAGGGGTAGCAGTAATCGTAGGACATCCAGGTCCTCGTACAACAATTATTGTTCTCCTCATTGTAAAAACACCCAACAAAGTAATATGTCCTTAAAACTTAAATCCCTGCACCATCAATGGACTGTATAGGAAAAAGTTTCTCCTTTAACTTTGCTGTCACGGTTCCTTTTGTTTCCCAGACTAAGTCTTGTGTTTTATTACATTTATAATGATGATGATAGTAAGGGGATGTATCAAGGTAACCGTGAGTCAGCGTGATAAGGGAAAGTGTTAATATGCAGACCCCATGTCCGGTGGAAGTTAACGTCTTCTTATGATTACATGACCATAGTCATTTTTTCAAATAAATGTGCAATTGATTTTTTATGTAAGTTTTCTTCTCTATTTAAATACAAGTTATTTTTTTACTATGTAAACAAAACCTAATGATTTTTTTTGCTCGAATTTTGACATACGCCCCCTCTCTCTGGTGATCTCATAATGTGAAGTACAGAAGCCATAGTGACTACTGCGGCTTCCGTCATCAGGTCTCATTAATTAATTGTAATACAAAGTGAATAGGCGTTACTGCACGGGCTCAGAGGGAATCAAGTGCGTAAATGTTTGTGGTGAGTATGTCTGATGACAAATCATTAACATATGTAAATGATGTGATGGAGGTCTGAAAAAATTCGCTTTAGGAAATTTTATTACTGCACATTTTGGTGGGCTTAAAATTTTCTGACTTTGTTATTTTCTATTTTGGTTATTTGAATACTGACTTTTTATGCATAACTGAGGTCATCTTGGGGACATTTTCTTATTTGGTTTTTTGGCCATAACTACAAAACAAAAGGTCACAAAACCTCTTGTTTTCACACACACCATTTGTGTAAAACCACAGTATTATTTCTATATGTACACACGGAACTTTTTTAAAACCTGAGTCACTGTAAATATCACCTACGAGGTTAACATTGATTGTCACATATCACATCGAAAAGAAATGAAAATGTTAATGAAATCCATAATTGTATTTAAAGTTGGGCAAACCAAAAAAATTGAATAAAAAATCTCTTACCTTGGCAAGTGACAAATCGTCTGCCTCTGCTGCATCATAATCAAAGAGAGCTATCACAGTTTTTGTTGACCTGGGTGGGGTAGACGGGTAATACTGAAAGGTGAACAAACCGTTACTGTATCATTTAATTCTATTATTAAACTACATTTAACTACAAAAATTTTTTCTACATGACAGAAGATATATACACATTTCTGAGGTTTTCAGCTCAATAAAATTTCAAAAACACAAGCATACCAATATCCTAGGCTTAGTTTGAACTATGGGGTATTCTCCATGCCAATAGGCAATCTTAGGCATGGTCCTATCTTCTTCAAAATAAATATTGTGGACTTAATGCTCTCGGTTCCTTATCATTACACATCCTAGACAGCACCTTGAAACTGCCCTGACAACTTAACATCTGTCACCTTCTTTAAGAACTGTTGAAAGGTATTTATTTCACGTCATTTAAATTTAAAAGCCACGATGAAAATAATCCTGTGCGTAATTTCATTCCAGCATACTCATTATAAGACATACAGTTAGGCATTCGGCCCTGACACAGCATTTTTCATTTTTTATTCTAAACACTCAGGGCCTTAATAACCACACTTTAAGACCTCTTCTACAGGAATTACAAATGTTAACAGCATGCAAAGCCTGATCAGGTGAAAGTCTGGGGCTGGCGCATCTGGTTGCCAGGCAACCCTGGAATACATGGCAAATAAGGCACCTCTCTGTGCAAAAGAGGTACACTAGTAAAAAACAATGGGAGAAATTAATTTGAAAGCTGTAAAAGGCCTGTTGCCATTAATTTCAGAAAGGGGGAAGGGGTTCTTTTTCTGAAAAAATGAAACCTTTTGCCTCCTCAGTTGACCCAACTTGACAAATGGCTTAGAACCTACATGGAATTTTGAGTCTGACTTTTTCTGGCCAAACAGGCTTTTTTTTTTTTTCAAATACCCCACCCCATCCAACCCTGCCTCCTGGCCTGTGTAACAATGTTTTAGATAAAGAGTCTCATTCACTAAAATACCTTACTTTAATCTCATTTGAATATCAAAATTTTGAAGTAGATTAAAAAAAGGGTTGCCCCTGAAAAAAAATTAGTTTGTGGAAGATGCCCCAGTATGATATGAGCCAAATGACATCAAATTAGAAAAAAAGGTTAATCTCTATCCTCAAATCTTAACTAGTCATGACATCTCTTAGAGTAAAAACAGCCCTCCCTAAGTGAGCCACAGACACATTATGCATGTAACATATGTCAAAGGGTGGAACCATCAACTGAATTCTACACATACACTTCGGCTGTGAAATATGCACTTTTTTTCATACAGACTGTGATTAAATATTCATTACATGTACATTTAAGCTGTATACTGCATAGAATAAATATTGAAAACATGTAAGGTGACAGAGAACACTAGGACTTATTTCCAATGAAACAACTGTTCTATGTAGATTGATCAACTCCTCATAGACTCTCGCTTAATGCAATCAGATTAACACACCTCCGGTTGTTTCCAACATACATAATTCCCAGCTTTCCAGTATTCTATTCAGGAAAATCTGTTCATCTGATTGTATTAAGCGAGTGTCCCATGAAATTGGATCGATCTACGCAGAGCCGTAGTTTCATTGGGAATGAGCTCCTATACAGGTAGATACTATATACTGTAAATTTATAATAAACTGAACATTCTCCATCATGTATATACACTTAATGTACTCATGGTCACTTCTCAGGTAACTAAAAATCCATCTGTTTACAGCTTCAAAATAAAAAACTAGTTCTCAATTACAGACTTCAACTGCACATGCCTCCCACGTACAGAAAAAATGACAACTATCTGACTTTAAATTAGATGGCACTATTCAACCATTCCTTACAATAAGGAACGTGACACATAATTGAAACACATACCATACTTCATCAAATCCACTTAACTACTTAGAAATGGATAGATATGCTGACAGTGCCTCTTCCAATATTGCATGAATTAAATTCTTATTCCAATGCACTTAGCACATTTTTTCAGGATGCCCCAAATATCTTGCGTTTTCTCAGTGTATCATTTATTCTACTACTCTAACTGGTGTGAGTTTGCTTTTATTTTTATTTTTAGGTACCTGATCATGAAGGACACTATAATTCTTCAGCCATTCTATTATATGTTTTTATATTTTAGTCAGATAATTTATTTTTTCATAAAATCAATAATTTTAATTTGGTAAGCTATTTAATGAATAATTGCACATTTTATTTCATCAAGATGTATCTCTAATCTTTTGCAAAAACAAAATCATGACAGTGAGACAAATCAGAACTATTTTGTGGATTCTGTTAAAAAAAACACTTTTCTTTACTAAGCTGAATAACAAATCTAATCCATCCCTGCCTTAAAGATACCACACAAAAGTTCTTCTCAAGTTGAAGTTAAGCATTGCAAGCTTTACTTACTGGTGTTTTAGATGAAGGATTCACAGTGGAAGATGACGTGGATTTGATTAAAGAAGCTGAAATGAAATCATTTTGACACTTCATATCAATATAAACAGACTTCAACAACATGGTTTTTCTGTCACATAAAATATTACATGTGTATTACTTTTCAAGTGCATCAATGATACTAGTTTAAACAATATGCCATGTTTAAATATCACAAAAAAAATTATCAATAAAAAAAAAATAAGGAGAGGACAACCATTTACCTGCAGAAGTGTCTCGGCCTTGATTAAAATGGCCGTCTGACTGGTTCGTAGATGTGGGTTCACATCCAGGTGCATTCTTGTCTGTCTGCCCGCAGCACGAGTACGCACGGTTCCGCGTGGTCCACACACCCGGGTGGTACTTGTCTAGAAATTTGGCATTGTTTTTGGAACATACTGAAAGTTACATAAAAAGAGGTGAGCTTAATATATAAGAACATGTTTCAGTCTACATTGGTTTTATGTAAAATATTAGATCAACACTGTCTTATTTTAATATTGTAATAATACTGTTATTTTAATATTGCAAAAGGCAATTTTCAATTCAACATATTTTCTCTAGCTGATTTTAATCCATTTGTTGATAAAAGTATTAAATAATGCTTCTTTCATGATAAGTTTATCATTAAACTCATCCACTTCTGAGTGGATAACTGATAATACATATACATATGACCTACTAAAGTTTTAAAAAATATTAAAGTGCAGTTGTGACCATAAACCATGTTAGGTGTGACATGTTGTACCAATTCTACTAAGTGAAATGTGTTAGGTGTGACACATGTAAGCAATCCTACTCACAATCCCTGAGAGTCATCACCCAGTCATTCCTCTGGTCTTCACTGGTGGCTATAATATACAGTGTGTAGAACTCCAGGGTATTGCCATCAGTGTAGACAACCTGATAACACAACAGGAAGTGTGATTAGAAATGGCTGATTATTATTATTATTATTATTATTATTATTATTATTAAAGTCATACATCATCTTATGTGATGGAACCTAGCAGGGCATGAGCTCTGGTCTCAACAAGACTCCTCAAATCTCGAGCACTTTGCATAGAATTCTGGCTGTGTGTAGCAATATGGTCTTTTGAAGTTCCGTACATTATTATTATTATTATTTATTATTATTGTTGTTGTTGTTGTTGTTGTTGTTGTCATATTAGTACTTGGCTAAATCAGTGATATACTGAACATACCATTACAAAGATACACCTCTTCAATTTCTTCTAAGGAAGTCACCCTTAATGTCTCTGACAAAACTTTAACCTTTATTGACCAATATAAACTTTCAAGCACAATTTTTTACTTTACTCAATAATTTTTGCAGGGAAGGGTTAGCCTTAATTAACACTAAAACTTGGGGAAATTCATCAGTGGTTCTGTCAAAGCAACAGAAATGCGCTAACTTCAGTCAGTCCTCGCGTACTTACAATCTACCTCAAGGCCGAACAATTTCTTTTTTGTTTGGTATAAATTTAGACATGTCCTTTGTAAACGAGACCAATAACATCATTCATTTACTGCTAACAATGCTCCAAAGTTTATCAATTGTCATCCAAAGACAAATGAGGCAACATGGACCCTGTTGGTTTGTATGGCTTTACTGTAGAAGCGGTGCATGACACAAGTGATTTTAGAAAGAAGTCGGCTCTTTGGGGCCCGTGCCGTCTGCAAGTTGGATCACAATACCACATATTGTTAAAGCTTCACCAAAGTTCAAGACAAATTCTAAATGAGTAATATTTTGTGTAGGTGATCTATATAGGGCTACAAGTGAAATCACTATATGTTATCAATAGCCAAAATACTCAAGATAGTGAAATGGCCATATTAATTAAAAACTGTATGTCAAGTGGTGGAAACTCTCCTAATTTTGGTTGCTAATAAATTCACCATTGCACGCCAGACATCAAAGGCCCATCACTAACATCATGATGATCATCATGATTGTTTTTTTGTCTGAAGTTGGTCATAAACTATCAACCCATAACAGAGGACTGTCAGCCAGTAGTTTAAGACCCCATTCCCAGAGATTAGATCGATCTACTTTAGATCGACCTAACTCTCTGGGGGTTCACGCTAGATAGCTGTCAGCCGAGCGGGCACGAAAGTTAATTACCCTCTTATAGCTTGTAGTAGGCGGGACGGACATTTAAGCCGAATTATCTGACAGTAATCTAGTGAGACTCTCCGCGGGGATAGATCGATCTAAAAGCTCTGGGAATACGCCCTTAGACAACTGAAATATATCCTTATACATGATAAAGTAAAGTATCATTTTACATCTTTATTGCCAATTTGCATAGCTTGAAAATGAGATAATAAGTCAATTCTTTACAGAGCTGGCATAATTTTCTTTTTATTTAGAGGCCTTGGAAATGGCAGAAATTTCACTGCACAGATGCACATAAAAATCTGCACCAAAAAGACTTTGTGAAGTATAAATGGGATTTGGATTTCTTAGAAGTATTAATTTTAGTATGCAATTTTTTTTCAAGTGATATACAGTGCTCTGCATCACAACTTTCCAACCAAATTTTTATGTGTTTACTGTGTTTAAAGGGAAGAAAATCACTCACTCAAGTCACATTAATTTTTTTTTTTTTGAAATGAAACTTCCCAGAGAAACAAATGCAAGAATGCTAGTCAGGCTAATTCTCTTAGAAAAAACACTTTAATGTACACTTTAATGTTATAACATAACACATTACCCACTCCACAAAAGAATTTAATCAACATTTTAGAAGATAAGCTTTAATTACTAAAAGATAATAATATTACACTGCCTTTGTTTTCAAATGATCTTAGGAACATCACGCCACAGAAAGAGCTAATTAATCAGCATGTTTGTAAGAGGGACTGGTAAAGAAAAATGTTGAAATGGCTTCTATAAATTTTAAACATTCACTAATTGTACATATGCTTAACCTCATGTATGCTTTTAAATCATTATGAATGGAGATTTGCCGTTTTACTGTACCACATCACTGTTTGGGGTTGGCACAAAACCATAGGTATCTCAGCAAGAACTTGCATAATCACAGAACTCCCACATTTCATTGGTAAAAGCCCATCAGGAGGAATAACATATTCTTACAAATAAAACCAAATTAGTTTACAGCAAAAACTGCTTTAGGAGACATAAAAACCGCTTCTATGTTGTTTTCTCATTCATAAGTGTCAGCATCAGCCTGCAGGAGATGAGACATTAATTTGTTTTATTGATAACATCCATTTGGCGTAAAAATAAATTCCATCGTAGATGTCCATTACCAGATACCATAAATTTATAAACATCATCTGACGTCAGCTCACTGAAGACTGCCCTGCAGGTAACTCCTAGACAGTCTTTAGTTACTGCTTCTTCTGAATTGCTATGTTCAACGCATATAATAATACCGCAAGGGATTTGTGTTCCCCATCATTTATGTCAGTGCCATTCTTTTAAACTTCCTAGAGGGCAAGGGTAGCTATTTCCAAAGTCTTTTTGATATTTTTGTCTTACTTGGTGGATCCAGGTGCGAACTGCCCAAAAAAACATTTCTTTATTTAGTGCCCCACCCCCTTAATTTTGCCCCTCTCAGCTGCCACAAGACCCTGGATGTGCCAATTTTTCTAGTAAATTGATTGCACAGTAAAGAACACTTCAAATATCACACAATCATTTCTTACCCTTATTTCCCTCATCTCAGAGGACATAGTTGTAGCCAGGTGTTTTACATTCCATAATAAATAAATTGCTTTATACACTTACCTGTAATGCATGTTGTCTATTGTCCAGTGCACCATTGTCAACGTTTTCTACTATCTTTACCTGGGCCAGGTTTAGACGACCCTTCTCTTTGCCAGGTCCTTTCTGTGAAAATAAATAAATAAAAAATAATAATAATATAAAATAAAATAAAAATGACAGGTTTAACAATACAGTCATGTGATTAAAAAGAGCTAAAAAACTTTTAAATCAGATATCTATATACGAATTCTATTTATATTAACTTATTTATTCCAATTAAAGGATTTATTTAAAGGGAACTCCCTCAAACTTAAAATAACAGACATAAAAGTCAGTCAGTGATAGTAACAGACTATTTTAGCAACTGAACCAAATGGAAGATATTTTGTGAAAAGATTTCTATTCCATATTTGTTGTGACATCATAGTGAGCTCATAGTGACATAGATGAGTGATCCTATGACATCACAGTATTAGATAAGTGACTTCATAATGATGTTGATGTCATGTTTGAGCTCTTGGACTCCCGCAGTCACCTTGTAGAAAATGCATCACAATTGAAACATGGATGTTGCTAAAATAGTCTGCAGACATCCACAAAATACAGTAGGTTTTTTTGATAGCAATGTAAAGGTCTTTTTTTTTATTTTCCCAGATTGATACAAGTTATAACGTGTCAGAAAAGGATAAAAGGTAGGTTAGATAGCAAAAAGTATTGTTTACTCAAGGATTATTTATTAAATATGTTTTTCGTTGGAAAATCTTACACTGGATACGTTTAACCTCGCGTATAGTCATTACTCAACATTATGACTAATAAGTGACTAACACATTTGCTAGGTAGCAAATACAGCACTGTTTTTCTATACCTCCCGTATACCTGACATTGGGCGTGGACAGAGATACTTATATATTATACACTTATTATACTGAAGATAGTATTTCTATGGTTCTTTGGTTCATGTCACCCTCAAAAAATAAAAATGAGCCCCATGACAACTTAAATTTTCATAAAGCATGTAACATCCTCAGAATCTAGATTTTACAGAAATTTAAGTAGTGAAACTTATCGGACATCAACTTGGTGAAGTAAGGGCAGTGAAATGCCAAGATACAGTAAGCAATTCAGAGGAGCTGATACCAGATATTAGTACCTTATGGAAAGAATTCCACAGTTTGCTGAACAGAGACATCCTTTCCCACTGCTCCTGAGCCACCGCATGCTGTAACAGCATTAACACCTCAGTCGCCATCTTTAATCATGAAGGAGATTTTGAGAAAAAAAAGAAACGTCTTCTCAGAGTAATCCAAGTGCTCCTAGTCGCCCCTCCTACTATTCCTAAGTTAGCAGTCTCTCTCATGAAAACATCTGTTTATCAATTAGCAGTCTGCGTGAGAAGAAATTCAATTGCAATGTCTACTAAACCACACACACACATTATGACCTTCCATATATGTATCCCTCCTCACCAAATTATCCATTATCCCTACAAGGTTACTATTCCTGTGCAATACTTATGTTCTCTGGAGCATACAGCATAAGTTTCCACTCAGATACACATCAGAGATGACACGAGTAGATATTCGGTTGCTATGGAGTCTGTTTTGGTTTTCCGTGTACTTTAAAATCTACAAAATACAGCCCTAGTCCCTTTTAATTTGTCGCAGAGCAAGAACGTTTTTGTAGATCTGAATCCATTTTCAAAAGTTATAGATAGCCAAATCAACAGGTAATATGTTCTGCCTAATCCTCCTTTCAGACATATGCAAAAACGCTATCAGTTCATATGATAATGTCTGGAATATCTAAGAGCCGAATGTCCCTGGTGGATTCCAAACTGATAACTCTTTTCAGTTTTAGGTTTCGTCCTTCATAAAGTTCCTTGCAAACCTATCGGGAACACAAACCAGTACTGATCAAGTGTCTTCTTGATGCGTTCATACACTCTAACCCCTCAGACTGCAGTGACAACGTAATCAAAGTTATGCCAGCCTTTGGTAAATTATATCTTAGTGGTACAACCAGGTTATATAAAAAGAAAGTATTGTTACGCGTCTTGCCCTCAGCTAATAGTTAACAGAGGGTGTCTAGCGTGGATAACCCCATTACACTTCCACTGTGATCGGAATAGAGATAAAACAGTACAGTCATGAAATTGAGGCATCCTGTGTAATATTGCAACAGCAATTTAGAATGTACTCTGACATGTATTCTAATGATATGTGCAAACAGAGACTGTAGGGTATAAAATTTGGGTGGGTTAATACCATGGCCTAAAGGAGCCTATATGCGAGTTTTTTTTTTTTTTTCACCAGGCTTCAAAAATACGGAAATTGTAGCAACTGACATGAACCACATTGATTTCATTTTGGTCTTTACTTGTGTCCAAAAAAAAAAAATAATAATAATAATAAATAAATAAATAAATAAATAAATAAATAAATAAATAAATAAATAAATAAAATAAATTTAAAATAATAATAATAATAATAATGATAAAATAAAAAATAAATAATTAAATAATAAAAATTAAATAAATAAATAAATAATCTTATATCACTTTAGTGTCATCCTTTACTAGAATTCAAAAATTCAAAATGGTGAAAAAAGCACAGTCTGGTTACTATGGTCCATGGCAGATTGGTCATGAACTGCTTCTGATCAATAAAACGTAGCCTTGTTAATGATTAAAATGCATTCCTCAGTTTTTCTTTGTTTTGTTCATTAGTAAAAGTTTGTTAACTTAAGTTAAAACGAATTATTTACTCCGAGATAACTGGATACAACCCTGAGATTCAGAAATATTGGGTCTGTCCATGTACACTTTATTCTAAATGTATTTTCTATTCAAGACAAAGGAAATACAGTGTTGACAAAGGCTATGAACACTCCTTTTTTATCATTTGTTCATTAACGTTATGGTTATCTGTCTTACTTGCATGCCTACCTCTATTACAAAACCACGGCAATTTATAACAGTTATATATGAAAACATTTGCCTAGTACAATCATGGTCAAACAAAGTCAGAATATATATAGGGGATTTGAGGCCGAACCCTGCTTCTAGTCTGTAGTTCCCCAATTACAAGGATACTTCTGGTGATTAATTAAAATGTGAACCATTCATCTATCTTGGGCAAGATGGGATGAAATGACCTTCAAAAATTTGACCAAAATCACAAAATGGCAGTTTGGCGTGACTACTGCGTCATACATTTCTGACCAGTAGGGATTTATAGGAGTCAACCCAGGTGATGGTCTCTCATGTTTTTCATTTTTTTTTTTGTAATTTACATTTTTGTTTTGGATAGAGAAAAATTGCCTAAAGCCCGTGTATAAATATAGAAAACCTATTTCAATTAAAAAAAAAAAAGAAAAAAAAAAAAAAAACACTTTCAATAAAAAAAAAAAGACATGGTATTATTTCCATAATTATCTTTTCCCTGTAGGTTGTTCATCTCGCAGCTAGACAACCTACAAACACCAAGTTGTAAAAACAAACCTATGATTACCAAATTCTAAAAACTGAAAATTTATTTAAAACATTTTACCTCACAGTTAACAAAGAGACATTCTGTGCAGCTGATTTAATAGATGCCACCAGGTATTTCCTTCCTGCCACTACAAACTATACACTGCCATCTATTTCAACACCTTTCCAAGGCTTCTGGAGAAAGTCAATGTTTTTTTTCATTTGTTTGTTTTTTGTTTCTTTTAGAAATAATAAATAAACACAGTAAGACTAACATAACATGGTAAGACTTCACTAATAAATATGCATATGAAGAAAGTCATCAAATAGGGTGTCATAACTGAAGTTATGTGTAGGGCAATGCATTGACATGTCTTCTTCCATCTTACAGTGATCACTGATGACAATACCAATCCAATACAATATCTATATCTCTATGACCACATACACAGCAGTTCATGTGCCTGGTAGTGACATGTGAACTCAACAAGTCCATGATGTCCATCATCAAATTATGGCACCTAATTAAATTTTGTCCAGTTGTCTGCCAAACCAGATCATCCTAAAGGGCCCGTTCCCACAGATACCACGGGTCTACATAAATCGATCCAGCTCTGTAGGGACTCAAGCTGAGTGCAGTCAGCTTAACTGTATGACAGTCCTCCTCCTATTGTTACAGCATAACTGGTGGTTATACCAGATCTTGAAAACAAGAGGAGAAATGTCGTTCATTTAAACTGATGGTACTCAATAAAAGTCCTTACAGAGTTGGATCGAACCACATAGACTGATGCTGTCTATGTGAATGAGGTCTTAATTACCTCTTCTCCACCCATGTGTCCACAAAGAGAACTAAGCTACATTATTACACAGATCTACAAGGAGCCAATAGATCAGAGTGGCATCTTGTGGCAGGTATACCTAGCACGTTCCTCGCTAACCATGATACCCGTTATCTTTGACCACCACAATTCATTTAGTTTACCCTGAGAGCAGCTAGGACTATTACATATCTGATGAGATCTTTACACTGAAGCTGCCTGCCTCTGCCTGACATCTGTGCTACAAAATGGACAATGAATGAGAGAGATGCATTTCTTTCTTTTTCTTTCCTTCATTTTTTTTTTTTTTACAAGAACCACATTTTCATGGAGCCAGATTTGAGGATATATCCTTAAAGTTTCATGCTCATTTTCAATCAATTTCCTATGCTTTCACCATTTCATTACTGGCTTAATGTTGCAAAAATCCTTATTTATAAACAGAAACAAACTCAACTATTGCAAGTTAATGCTGACTTTTCTCTGACATTACTAAATGACTGAAAGAAAAGGGTGCATGAGATCAGTCAGTCTTCTGGCATGATAATGCATCAGAGGAGACCCATGAGTCAAGCCTTTGTTCAAGATCATCACACTCATAGGTCTGATTTAATCATAACAACATCACCATTGTTTTTAATTGATGCCTATGTGATACAGAAATTGATATGCGATCTAGTAAAGAGGTGTTAATGTTTCACGCATTCAAATTTTCATTATCTGCTGTTCTTTGCTTTGGTTAATTAGTTGTCACTACATTCAGAATCAAAACTGCATTTAAATTGACTGAAAAATTTAAAAGATTAACAAGATGAGAAACCTGCCAGACTATATAAGTTAAACAAGAGTTTTAGCTTGACTAAATATTTGGAAACAACTCATCAGCACTCGTAGCCATTGTCAGTTTGAAACTTTTTTGAAGTTTCACCAATTTTGAAGGCTAAAACATATTATAATATTGGCAGAAAGAAAACTGCTTCCCTACATAATAATAGTGAGTTAAATTGCAAAAAAAGGCTACCAAGAAAGACAGCCCACGCCCTCCTTTCAAATTACCCTTTAGCACAGTCATTTGAGTGCTACTATGATCATGATAATGACGACTACAAAGTTAAGTCCCCAAACAACTATAAAATGTGTCATTTCTTGGTGATATAACATGGTGTCACTGATGAAGGTGAGCAATTACAGGAGAGTGACATGACTAGAGTCATTACAGTCAAATTAATATCAATACAATGAATACGATGCCAGCTGCATTGAAAGACACCTTTATTCCAGCTGAAGCTATCTTTTAATATCTTCACCTAAATACATTCATTTTCACAACTTTCTCCTTGTTATACCTCAATTGCTGTCATTGTTCTTGTTATTTCTTGATGAATCTCTTATAACATGGCAGGCCCCTAGCCGGGGGGGGGGGGGGGGGGGGTTTGGGAAACCCCTCTTTTTGCTGAGAAAAGGTCCTCTCTGGGTAAATTTATCTAGGCACACAAAGATTTCATGGTAAATTGTCCACTTTTTCAGAATAAAGTATAACCCTTTTGAAACTGCTGGCTACCGGCCTGCATGGCATTTAATTGTGTGTAACTTCCTTAATTCTCATAACTCATAACTTCCTTATTTGTTAAGAAGACAGAGTGGCAAAACCTCCTTCTTTTTGCTACCCCCCTCCCCCTCTTCCCATTAAATCAAGACAAGCAACAAAAATGTCTTTCCATAAAAGTATTCCAGCAAATAGAGATGATATATCACTGCATGTTATGTGGCCCTAGGTGTGTCTTGGGAAGGGTACTAGTAGGTTATTACTGTGGAGAAAATATGTACTGGAGTTACTCACACACATTAGACACCTCTCTTGTATCAATATTTCATTTTTCAAGAATCCTTTTAAAATAAAGTTTATTAATTTCTTAAAACTTTCAAATCATGCTTTCTTTTTAAATGTTTTTAAAAAACAATGTCTCTTAAGAAATTAAATTGACCACTTTTGTCCAAATTAAATAATTATTATAAATGTGTGTGTGTGTGTGTGTGTGTGTGGTCAACTATTTCACGTACTTCAGTTTTGAAGGATATTTACATAAAGCAATAACATTTAAATTTTGCATTTAATATATGTACTGACTGATTCCGGATATAAAGTACTAGTAAGTAAGGGGAAAACATCTTCTGTGGGCCCTAGAATGTCATTTCTCCTCCTATATCTTTGAAATGCGTTCCCATACATACCATTGGTCTACATAAATTGATTCACAATACGCGCGCACGCGTGTGCTTACGTGCATGCATGCATATCCATAGCTATGTGTATGTGACCCCGAATATCTTCATGTGTACAAGCATTCAGCTTTTCAAAAGTAGTTTTTCATGTAGATAAACCATTAAACT